AAAAAAAAAAAAAAAAAAAAAAAAAGAATTGGGTCTAGACCAGTAGGGCCACCAGTAAATTACATTGCTGTTTGAATCCTGGGATTCTCTATTGTATAAATATATCCTTCTAGATAGCTAGAATTAGGGCTGGGGATTTAGCTCAGTGGTTCTGCCGCTTGTCTCAACAAGCACAAGGACTCAAGTTCAATCCCTGGTACCACGCATACACCAAAAAAAAAAAAAAATCAAGATAAAACATAACTAGAATTAAATCTAACATTGAATGATCAGCAAAGTGTTATGTCCTTATATGAAAATTATATAAATATTTTATTTATTTATTTATTGGTATTAGGGATTGAACTTGGGACCTTGTGCTTGTGAGGGCAGGTGGCAGAGCCACTGAGCTAGGTCCCTGAGCCAAAAATTATATTTTTAAATAGAAACTAAATCTACAATCCCTTTTCTAGTCTAAAATATATTGGTGATATCACATTTTATATAAGAATAAATTTACCAATTATAAGTTTATTGATATGAGCCACCAAAAACATTATAGGTAACTTTAAACTACGTTAAGCCAATTTCATATGGTCATTTTTAAACTTCATCAATTTGACATGTTAGAATACAAAAATAAGATATCAGGTGCCCTGTTACATTGCTAAAATGTTAGTCACAATTACTCTGATTCCACCATTAAAACCAATTTGCACTAGTTTCTCAATTAAAATTTTTATCTTGTTGGTAAATTGGCTCAAATTTTGAAGGCAAAAAGTACGAACTCAAATTATCTGCTAAGTACATAAAAACTCATGATTTTTTTTACTTTTCTAAATTTACCTATTCTTAGTTAATTCTTTGTAAAAGTAATGCTTAATTTTGTGATCAGTTCAAGTGAGAAGTTATATAAAGGAATCAGCCCCCAAAACAAATGTTTCTTTTCTCTTTCTATTATTATTATTATTATTTATTTTGGATAGAATGTGCAGTTTCTGGCTATTACGTTTGGTTCATTGAGAAGAAACTAAAAAAATAAATTTCTCCCCATATAAAAATATGGAAGGAAATTTTTGAAGTTGTTGCTTTGTTTGCATGGTTTTTGTTTGATTTTGTTTTTCCTCTTTGCGTTTCCTTAGGCCCTGAGTATGCAGATGTGGTGTTTCTGGTGGACAGCTCAGATCACCTGGGAATCAAGTCCTTTCCACTGGTGAAAACATTCATCAGCAAAATGATCAGCAGTCTCCCCATAGAGGCCAACAAATACCGTGTGGCTCTGGCCCAGTACAGTGACGGGCTTCACAGTGAGTTCCACCTCAACACCTTCAGGAGCAGGAACCCCATGCTGGGCCACCTCAAGAAGAGCTTCAGGTTCATTGGCGGGCCTCTGAAGATAGGAAATGCTCTTCAGGAGGCCCACAAGACCTATTTCTCTGCACCCAGAAATGGAAGAGACAAGAAGCAGTTCCCCCCAATTTTGGTGGTCCTGGCTTCAGCCAAGTCTGAGGATGATGTGGAAGAGGCTTCAAAGGCCCTGAAGAAAGATGGAGTGAAAATCATCTCGGTGGGGCTGCAGGAGGCTTCTGAGGAAAACCTGAAGGCCATGGCCACGTCTCAGTTTTATTTCAACCTTCGGACAGTCAGAGATCTCAGCACATTTTCCCAAAACATGACACAAGTCATCAAGGATGTAACCAAGTACAGCGAAGGGACAGTCAATGACATCCATGTAGAAGGTGGGCATAGGATGCAGGTGTAGGCGTGATGATGAAGTGATTTTGAAAATCAACATAAGGGAGGATTGATATCTAATGAGCAGCCCTTCCTCGAAATAACCTGCATTTTTAGACCTAAAATGTCCATATGTTTAAGTGGGTCCTATGATTATGGCCATTTAACATCTAATGAATTGAACTGGCCTTGTTTTTCCCTGTTTCACTTATCTTTGTTGTATGTCTCTTGCAGACTTCTTAAAATTTACGTCTGCCTCTCCCTGGAACCCAGCTCACCTCTGAGTTATCTCCCTGGGTTAGAGTTTCTGTGTGGTATCATTATTGGCTCATTTAAAAAAATATAAATTTGCATCTAAAGAAATCTTTGACTCTTTCAGGTAAATTCCTTAATTACAGAATGTTAGAGCTGCAAAATAACTTCCAGTTGTCCAAAGCCCCTAATTTGCAGAGATGAAGTTTTAGAAGTGACAGGACGTGGACCAGGGCCAACCTGCAATTTTTAGTCAGAGTGGGGTGTGGACTGTACAGCAAACCCTCTCTCTGGTTTGTCTTGTCCTATTCTGTTAGCAAGAAGGGCCAAAAATTCAGTCATACAGAGCCCGTGTCTGTATAAGCAACATAGGGTGTAAGATTCCCACTTAATCTGATCTGAGATGACATTTATAATTACCTACTGATACTAGAGAAGGCTTTTCTTATAACCCATGAAAATATGAATCTATTACTAGCATCTTTTGCAAATAAAATGATTGAAAGTATATTTCTATTAGCATTTCTTAGAAATATTTGAACTATAACTGCTGATTTTAATGGTGATAATGACGCTTAAATGATTTTGATATTTAATAGCTATTGTTCATTACATAAATTTTATGGACCAAGCTCTACACTAAATATATTATCCCATTTAAATCCCAGAATTTCCCAAAGGGATAAATATTATGGCTCCATTTTACAGATGAGGACAATGAAGCTGAAAGCTTAGCTGAGATCCAATATTTGAATTTGCTTAAGATCTCAGCTTCATAATCATTTTGCACACTTCCTCTTTCTTGAAGCACATAACCAAGCTCATATGTGTGATCTTCCTGTCTTCTGATGCCCTTCAGAGATATCAAGCCTCCAGCTAACACTGCTTGTTCCCTCCTTGCCCACAGTTTGCCAAGGCCCCTCTGTGGCTGACCTCGTGTTCCTGTTGGATGTGTCAATCAATGGCAGCCAGGAGAACTTTGACTACCTTAAAGCATTCCTGGAAGAAAGTGTGTCTGCCCTCGATATAAAGGACAGCTGCATGAGGGTTGGTCTTGTGGCCTACAGCAATGAGACCAAAATTATCAGTTCCCTGAGTGTGGGCATCAATAAGTCAGAGGTGCTCCACCAGATCCAGAACCTCTCTCCCCAGGCTGGCGAGGCCTACACCGGAGCTGCCCTCAGGAAGGTCCAGAAGGAAGTCTTCAGCCCACACCGAGGCAGTCGGAAGAATCAAGGGGTGCCCCAGATTGCAGTGCTGGTGACCCACAGAGTTTCGGAAGACAATGTGACGAAGGCAGCTGCCAACCTCCGGCGTCAAGGAGTGACCATCTTCACCGTGGGCATAGAGGAAGCCAGCAAAGCCCCGTTGGAGAAGATCGCGTCCCACCCTGCCAAGCAGTATGTCTCCACACTGAGCTCCTTCTCTGAGCTGGCCGCCCACAACCAGACCTTTCTGAAGAAGCTTCGGAACCAAATCACGCACACCGTCTCTGTCTTGGCAGAGCGGACTGAAACCCTAAAGTCTGGTAGAGTATTACTGAGGGATGGTTGCTCAGAGGTTTCCTTTTTTCTCTTATCTTCTGTGCATTATATACAAAAGGTGGGGGGTTGTGTGTTATGACGTAGGTGGGCAGAAAGAGCCTAATTTTTACTTCAGCTTGATCATATGAAGCCCGGTTTGGGGAAAATAAAATCCATTGAAGTGTCCAGGGGACTTTTCTTTTCCTTCCTTTCTCTTTTGGGTGGCTTAAATTGGGTTAGTTACTCATACCCAGTCCAGAACACCATTGTTCATGATTTCTCTTTTCTTCCTTTCTCTTTTTTTTCTCTCATTGAGTTTATTGGTCCATTTTAGGTACACAGTACAGTTACATTCATCATTGGGATCTTGCATCTTTACATGACAGGTTTTGGTTCTTGTTTTTTCTCCTTGTCCCTGCCCTCCCTTCACCCCCCTCCCTTCCCCATTTATAAACACTTTATTTCCATTTCTTCATGTTTTTCCTTTTCCCTTATTGCCTTCCCTACCCTTCCCATTCTCTTTCTCTTCTTCTCCTCTTCCTCCTCCAATTGAACGGAGCCCTCATGCTTTATTTCCCTGATCGTCCCTTTTCTTTCTCCTCCTCTGCCCTTCCCTCTCTACCCCTGCCATCTCCTCTTTCCCTTTCCTCCTACTCTTTCCTCTCTTCTTATCTCCTATTCCCTCCCTTCCTCCCTCTCTTTTACCCCACTTCCTCTTTTCTTTAATTTTTTTGTGTGATATTGGGAATTGAATCCAAGGCTGAGGCACCAAGCTACATCTTCAGCGCTTTTTATTTATTTTTTATTTTGAGACAAGAGACAGTGTCTCACTAAGTCACTTAGTTGCCAAGGCTGGGCTCAAACTTGTGATTTTCCTGTCACAGTCTTCCAGAATACTGGAATTACAGGTGTGAGCCACCATGCATGTGTAAACACACACACATATACATACATATCATGTATATACATATATATATATGTACATTCACAAAAGTCATTTATTTCACACTTACTATAACTGTGTAACATAAGGTTGATGACCATATTCCTCCATTAATTGACTAGGCATGGGGAGAAGTAAATATTTTGTTACAGATTTCAAGAAGAAGTACTTAATATGTCTACAATGTCCTGCTAAACACCATCTCCATTTTATGGCATTCCATTTGACATTTTGCCGAGTCGTTATTTACTAGTAGAAAAATGACATAAAAAGCAGTTTCAAGCTTTTCTGATTATTTGCTATGTCCAGATTTATCCCAACTCAGGGTAGAGAATTAAGGTAATAGTCTTATGCTGTCCGAAACAATTCATGTGGCCCAGTGAATGCTAAGATTTACAACAGCAGTTCTCTTAAGCATGAAAACTACTTCCCATTTTTTCTGTCTGAAGAAGCTATTTGTTGTTGTTCCCATCTGTATCTCTTTCTCTTTTACCTTTGGCTCACGTGCTATTTTCAGCTGTTTGGTTCCTTTGCAGGTTGTGTGGACACCGAGGAAGCTGACATCTATTTGCTCATTGATGGCTCTGGGAGCACCCAGGCCACCGACTTCCATGAAATGAAGAGTTTTCTGTCAGAGGTGGTAGGGATGTTCAACATTGCCCCCCATAAGGTCCGGGTTGGGGCTGTTCAGTATGCAGACAGCTGGGACTTAGAGTTTGAAATCAATAAGTACTCCAACAAGCATGATTTGGGTAAGGCCATTGAGAACATCAGGCAGATGGGTGGGAACACAAACACGGGTGCAGCCCTGAACTTTACACTAGGGCTTCTGCAGAGAGCAAAGAAACAGCGTAGAAACAAAGTGCCGTGTTACCTTGTTGTCCTGACAAATGGAGCGTCCCAGGACAGCATCTCGGAGCCTGCATTCAGACTTCAAGAGGAGAACATCCGTGTTTATGCTATTGGGGTCAAGGAGGCCAACCACACACAACTGCAAGAAATTGCTGGCGAGGAAAAGAGAGTATACTATGTGCATAACTTTGACGCCTTGAAAGACATAAGAAACCAAGTTGTTCAAGAAATCTGTACCGAAGGAGGTAAAAGAAATGGTGGTTTTGCCTTTCAAGTTCAGGTTGCAAATTGCCTTACTGTGAAACTATCTTTGTTCTCCAGAACAAAAATGAGAGCCCACTGTAGTGTGGTTCTGATTCGTGTCTGATTAATAATGAACACAGTTGAAGCTGGGCATGGTGGTGCACTCCTGTAATCCCAGCACTCAGGAGGCTGAGGCAGGAGGATCGCTGTGAGTTCAAGACCAGCCTGGGCTACATAGTGAGTTCCAGGTTAGTCTCAACTACATAGTGAGATCCTGTCTCAAAAAACCCAAAAAACAAACAAACAAAAAAATAATGAAGACAGTTGGAGGAAGTCTCCCTTCTAAGGATTAACTAGCTTCAACTACATAGTGATCCTGTCTCAAAAAACCCAAAAAACAAACAAACAAAAAAATAATGAAGACAGTTGGAGGAAGTCTCCCTTCTAAGGATTAACTAGCTTCCTCCCACAAATCCCTGCTAGAACATATGTGTGATTAGACATCACAAGTGATTCTCGATTTTAAGGAGTACTTTTGATTTAATTAAATTCCATTTTTTATAAAAACTTAGTGAAATCATTTAGAGAAACACCAGAAAGGTATTTTCCCTCTTAAGGGATTTATGCTAACTTCTAGAGATATTTTTTTTTTTGTATAATTGTGGAGTGCTGCTAACATCTAACAGGAAGACATCAGGGATGTTGCTAAACATCATCAATATCCTCCGTGTAAAGACTGCTCTACACAATTAAAATAATCTGACCCAAAATGTCAACAGTGATGAAGTTGAGAAACCCTGAGTTATATACTTAAGGACATTACTAAATAACAAATAGAATAATCCTGAATGTCTGGTTATTTTATTGCCTCCAGAGCTTTATTTACCTGCTAATAATCCTTACCGAACACATAATTCATTGTTCAATAATTTGTGATTTGAATTTTTCTGCTCATTTTTAATTTTGTACATGTGGTTGACTTGAATAAACATCGCTATTCCTCCCATGCAGCCTGCAAAGACATGAAAGCTGACATCATGTTTCTGGTGGACAGTTCTGGCAGTATAGGACCTGAAAACTTCATTAAAATGAAAATGTTTATGAAAAACTTGGTGAGCAAATCTCAGATTGGGGCAGATCAGGTGCAAATTGGTGTTGTTCAGTTCAGTGATGTCAACAAGGAAGAGTTTCCACTCAACAGATTCATGTCCCAAAGTGACATTTCCAATGCAATAGACCAAATGGCTCACATTGGGGAAACCACCTTGACCGGCAGTGCCCTGACTTTTGTGTCTCAATACTTCAGCCTTGCCAAGGGGGCCCGGCCCAATGTCAGAAAGTTTCTCATCCTCATCACAGACGGTGAAGCTCAGGATATAGTGAAGGACCCAGCAGTTGCACTTCGGCAAGAAGGCATAATTATCTACTCCGTAGGCGTATTTGGCTCCAACGTCACCCAGCTCGAGGAGATCAGTGGAAGGCCAGAGATGGTTTTCTATGTTGAGAATTTTGACATTCTGCAGCATATTGAAGATGATCTTGTTTTTGGAATATGCAGCCCCCGTGAAGGTAGGCATGGGTATAGCCCCCAGTGACAATGTCCAGATACCAGATGTGCTGGCTATTGCTTCTTGAACTAAGTAGAATTGTGTTTGAACACCGTGGGCTTTTTGTTTAATTGAAATGTCTATGTCAGTCCCTTTGATTTATTGAGTTAAGTAGACAATAAAGAATGATGTTGGTTCACCTAGATTTCTAGACAAATAGTCCTAGAGTGATGAATTCTTCACTTATGAGAAGTGGAATCATGCTAGGGCTTAGGTAAGATTCCTGGAAAGCAGAAGCTGAGTCATGAGAGCTGGTTGAGGTAGTTTATTGAGGAAATGCTTTCAGAAGGGGAGAAAGGAAAGCAAGACAAGGCATGGGCTGGAGCTAAGCAAGGAGGTCGTTTTAGCTGGACTCTAGCTGTAGCCTGATCTCATAGGAAGCTTTAGAGCATGAGTTACAGTAGCATTGGTCCTACCTTGAACTAGGGGCTCAACCTAGTGTACTCTGGGCCCCTGGGCTACATGTGGGCTGCAGGTGGTACAGATGCATCACTTCCTGGGCAAGGGGGCTCCTCTTTGGATAGCATCCATTACATGTGCATTTTTTGGTTTGTAGTTTCTAAAACCAGTACTTGGTCAAATAAAATGTTAATGAAAACACTTTGATATTTACTAAAACTTATGAAGAATGACTGTAGTATGTGTAGCAATGGATGTCTCAAAAAATGGCATAGTCCCTACTTCCTGTGATACTGCAGGAAATGGAAATTATAAAAAAAAAATCTTTGGACTAGGGGTTTAGATCAGTGGTAGAACCCCAGCCTGGCACATACGAGGCCCTGGGTGCCATCTCTGGCACCAAAATCAAACAAAATAGGAACAATAAAGTCAGAAAATACAAGAAGCTGCTTTATCCTGTGACCCTGAGGATTCATGATGGAGCCACTCTGAAAAGTCTCTATGAAGGCAATAGATCTTACTGGAGTTTTAAGGGAGAAAAACAATGCTTTCTTATTATTCAAATAATTCTGTCCAACTCCCACAGTAGAGTTTGATGACCATGGTCAGTGTTTTATAGAAAGAGTGGTTCATCTGGTTCTTAATCCCTGAAAATCCCATCAGAATAAATATGAACTCTGAAGGGTTTCGTCACCGAGAAATCTCCCCATGCCCCAGTCTTCTGAGGAATCCAGGAAAGCTTTGCAGCCAACTAAAGGCCAAAGGGACCTTGTTCCTTCTTTAGTAGAGCCAGCCTTTCCTAGGAATTGGATTTACATCTCTGTACCCATGGCCTCCGGTCAGTGGTTAAGTACATTGGCTCTTGAGTTTTCAGCAGCACCGCACAAAGTCAGCAAGTTAGGAAGGAGGAAAGCCTTAGGAGGCAGGTGAAAGAAAGAGAGGATGTTCTCATGGCTTCATTTCTGAAGATCAGATCTGTTAACCTTTACCTCCCCCGTTATGTTTATTGGTACATTTAAAGCAAACAATACAGTTGCATTTATCATTGGGATCTTATTTTTTCCCCTGTCCTCCCTTCACCCCCTTCACCCTTCCCTATCTACAAAGACTTTGTTTCCATTACGAGTGAACCTTTGGATCAGACCTTCCTAAGACCCAGAGAGAGAATGTGCTACCTAATGACTAACCGCTGCACTGGTCCAGGATGAATGAGTCGGCACTCGGGGTGCAGAATGGATGAGCTCCTTTAGATTAAACATGCTGGACATGAACCAAGCCCTTCCTGCTTTACTTGCCCATGACACAGACCTCAGATTTAAAACGTTAGGAGGAGTATTGTGCTAAGATAACTTAGGGAGAAAGTGGGCCTAAAAATGGGTATTTCAAGAAAGCAAAAGTGAGGAAAAAAAGGTAACCTTACAAACTCGGCCAATGGAGAACCATGAAAATGGGACTGCCAAATTCATTTTAACTTGGTCATTTTCCCCACGGTCTTTCTTATGAATAAAATGTCAAGATCCATCTGATTTAAAAAATAGAAAGATAAATTTATATAAAACAAAAGCAAATGTTGAAGAAACCACTTATTGAGGACATTGATGCAGAATTGTGGTTTTCGTTCCAGTCCAAAGGTTTGTGAAATTCAGTGATGATCTGTGATTGTCACTCCATCCCGTCCTGCCCCTGCAGTAGGTGTCATATCACCCATCTTGTTCTCAAAGATCACCTGAGTATCACTGTCCTGGTGACACAAATGTACACATGTCTCTGTTATCCAGGGAACTGACATTCTGGTGGGTAATGTGACCCATCAGAGAGAAAACAGCAGTAATGTTTTTTTAAAGTCGGGGATCACCCATGCTCTCCAAAATTAATCGCATATGGTTTTCCTTTTTCTCCCTCTGCTAGAATGCAAGCGGATTGAAGTTTTGGATGTTGTGTTTGTAATTGATAGCTCTGGCAGCATTGACTATGATGAATATAATGTCATGAAGGACTTCATGATCGGTTTAGTGAAGAAAGCTGACGTGGGCAAGAATCAAGTCCGGTTTGGTGCTTTGAAGTATGCCGATGACCCAGAGGTGCTATTTTATCTGGATGACCTTGATACAAAACTGGAGGTGATATCGGTGCTCCAGGGTGACCAGCCCATGGGAGGCAACACTTACACTGCAGAAGCTTTGGCCTTCGCAGACCACATGTTCACAGAAGCCCGGGGAAGCCGCCTGCACAGGGGAGTCCCCCAAGTCCTCATTGTGATTACTGATGGGGAATCCCACGATGCTGAAAAACTCAATGCCACCGCCCAGGCCTTGCGGGACAAAGGCATTCTTGTCCTGGCTGTGGGGATTGCCGGTGCCAATCCAGTGGAGCTGTTAGCCATGGCAGGGTTCAGTGACAAGTACTACTTTGTGGAGACTTTTGGAGGCCTGAAGGGGATATTTTCAGATGTGTCTGCCAGTGTTTGTAACTCTTCAAAAGTAGGTAAGTCTTATCAATTAAGTTTTTCTAATTATTAGCTTAAAACCAAATGAGGGAGACACTTTCAGGAATACGTTTTCTGGAGTGGAGAGAAGCTGAAATTATTCCATGGCACTCCCCGTGTTAGAGGATTTCAGGGCTGGAAAGACCTCAGGAATGTTTCCTTCAGCCTCTTTCCCAAAGAGACTTTTACAACATTTCCTATTCACTTCTTCCTAAATTCTTTTAATTCACTAGTTTGGAGCAGACTTTGGGTATGAGGGTACAGATTGCCTACCTGTTTCGCTATGCACTAGTTCCTTTTCCTTCTGTTTACATAAGAACTCACAATTTGTCTCCTCCCAAGATGCAATGATTGTTGCCAGAAGTCTTTTTTTTTTTAAGCTTAGAAATCCCCAGTTTCTTCACCATTTTCTGTCCTGGTTCATTGAAAATGTCTGGAGCTCCATATTAAGCACTTCAGTCCAGCCAACCTCAGATGTCTCCAGGACAAAGTACAGTGGGGCTTCCTTGTTGGGAGTGCTGTGCCTCTATTCCAGTGGCTAGAGGTCTCATGGCTGCATGCACGGAGGACACATTCATTCATCATTCATTCAGCACCATTTTACACTTTTGGTTTAGAAGGAGGTTTTGTGCTATTAACTTTCCTTAGTCTCTTCCTTAAGACATATTTTACTAAAATGCTCTATTTTTATTGGGTGAATTACTAATAATCCACAATCCCAGCATCTTGATGTAATTTGTTTTCTAAATCATTTAACATTTTTAGCTTCCATGTGGTTTATCTCCTTAGCATGCAGCTACCATAATTTTCTTTAACATAATTAACAAAATCTTTCTGGGGCCTACTTAAAAGGGCAAATCTTTCATTTCCTTGTGTCAAATACCTAAAATTTGATCCATCCTTCTGAAGTTCACTGTAAAAGATAATATTGCATTTTTGTATTGAAAGTTTTCATTTGAGCAGAAAAACAAGACTGAATTTTCTTTTTTTGACTCTGGATTTAAAAAAGAATTTAATGAATTAATCCCTAAAGGATGTACATTTCTTCTTCTCTTCCTTTATCCCATAATCTCTACAGTATGGGACTCTCATACATATTTAATCTTTTCTGAAGCTGCAGTGAGAATTAACTAAGGTCAGTGGTGGAATCCTTGAGAAAGTTCAAGGAAATTATAATGCTTACCAGAAAGCTAAGGGACATGCACAACTATGTGCCAAGTGTACCTCATTCATTGGCCATGCTCTCCCATATTCATATTGTTTTGTATTTGCTTTGTTAATATAAGGGAAATGTCCCTGGTTATACTGCATTGTTTGCTCAAAAATAGTTGTTATCAAGTAAGTAATTTTTGCTTGTGTAGACCAGACAGGAGCTGATAGAAGAGAAAAATAAACTAGATATGAACCAGAAAGTTTGCTTTCAAATACCCGCCTCAATTTGCCTTGACACAGAAAAATATTTTCTAGCTCAACTGGCCAGAGACCAAGTCAAAAATATAAGCCATCTGTTTCTGTTTGAGTCCCTAAACTGATGTGTTGTGTGTATGTGTGTGTTTTCCCTCCCTATGCTACTACTGTCCCTGGGCTTTCTGGAAGGGCTAAGCTAGATTACAGATGAGAACACATTTTCTGTAGCACCATTTCAAATTCTCTGGGAACTCAGAAATGCAAATGGCATAAGCCCAAATGGACAAGCCAAGAGCAATAGGAAAGGATGTGTGAGTGGTCAGCCTCATGCTGCCTTGATGACCTGGTCACTTGTTCCCTCCCAAATTAATGCAGTTACAGAGTCACATAAGATAAGACATGACTTTTGGAAATATCATTTCTATACAGCTACAAACAGTTAATTTGCTCTTATGGGTTAAAGAAAGCATAGCAGGGAAATAAGACTTTTTCAAAAGGGAAGAGAACCAAGAGATGGAGAGAAGAAAGATGGAATGGAGGAGAGAGAGAGAAGACAACAAAAGAGTTAAGATGTTTTGTGTACACAATGTACTAACCTCACACAATAAATGTTATCATTATGCGCTTCTAACACATACTAATAAAAACAGAAAAAATAACAATCTGTTTTTTTGGTGGTGGTTCTTCCCTTCTTTGTAGATTGTGATATTGAAAAAGTAGATCTTGTTTTCCTCATGGATGGTTCAAATAGCATTCATCCAAGTGACTTCAAGAAGATGAAGGAATTTTTGGTATCTGTTGTCCAAGACTTTGATGTCAGTCTCAAAAGAGTGCACATAGGAGCAGCCCAGTTCAGTGATAGCTACCGGCCAGAGTTTCACCTGGGAACTTTCATAGGGGAGAAGGAGGTATCATCTCAGATTGAAAATATCCAGCAGATCTTTGGATATACACACATTGGTGCTGCGCTCCAGAAGGTGAGCCATTACTTCCGGCCAGACATGGGCAGCAGGATAAACACAGGTACCCCCCAGGTGCTGCTGGTCCTCACGGATGGCCGGTCCCAAGACGAGGTGGCTCGGGCGGCTGAAGAGCTGAGACACAAAGGTGTGGACATCTACTCCGTGGGCATCGGAGATGTGGATGAGCAGCAGCTCATCCAGATCACTGGGACTGCAGATAAAAAACTCACAGTTCATAACTTCGATGAACTGAAAAAGATCAAGAAAAGGATTGTTCGCCACATCTGTACCACGGGGGGCGAGAGCAGTAAGTATTGATAAGTTCTTTGTTTTTCTTCATTTTTACACCCACACTAACATTCTCCTCAAGCTCTATCTACAGCTCCCAGGGATGCTGGAGATTTAGATTTGCACCTCTGGATTTCACAGTGAACTTTTTCACAGTTATTAAAGATTTCTTGTGGCTTATAGATTGGGAAACAGGATGTTTGAGTTCCTGTCTTTTTTTCCCCTCCCTTACTCCAAGGGGAGGATGTCTGCTTTGTGAGTGGGGACACTTGAGCTTTAGAGTTGTGAGGAAAAAGCCATTGTTTACAGTGTGGCTGGTTCCAGAGGTGGTAAAACTCCAAGAAAGAAACACTTGATGGATTTTGATTGCCTGGCCGTAGGGCTTACAAAGCTGCCAAAGGCTACACATGGAGGGAACATCCCAGGAGGTTTATATCTTCATTATGAAATTTTACCACAGATGTTAATGATTGTCTTCTTAAATATGAGCACATTTTGACATTTTTCCAATAGAAGGAAAAATGTATCTTGAAGAAGTAACTACTTTTTTAAAAGATCAGATGGGCATTCTATGGGTTGGCTCTGTTTTTAAGTAAGCTGACATGGCAAACATTGACCCCAGCTTTCCACCAACGAAAGGAAAGCCGTGAGTTGTTGAGAGGCAGCTGGAGATGTCCTGGCCAAAAACGCTGCTCTATGGCATTTATCTTGGAAAAGTTGCTTAATGTCTCTAATTTTCTCATCTATGGATTGTAAAAGACAGCAACACCTGGTTCAAAAGATCACTGTGAGGATGAAATGAGAAATATGCATATTTAAGCTTTACTTTTTTTTTTTAAAGCATGGCCCCTGGGATATAATTACAAGGTCGCTTCATTTTTGTCTACTATTGATCTATTGAATGTATTCCTGGGGACTAGTCCTTCCCTTGCCTCTACTCACTTCCAAGAAGTAAATGAACCTCCTCTTGCTGATTAATACATCTGTCCTAATGTTACTACTAGAACTCTAAGCTTTGTGCAAGGCTCTCTCACTCTTCCAGTCTGCCACAGACAGCTCACCTGCCTAGAAAAAAGTGGCCACCAGGGTTTACTTCCTTGTTCTTTACCTTTCAATGCTCCACCTTCTCCCCAGCTTGGCCTTCTCCCTGATTTCTGGCCACTGCAGCATGAGCTGGGGAAGGGAGCTGGTCCGAACAGAGGTCCTCATTTGATGGTACTGGTCAGGAATCAGTTTTCTCTGATGGTAACTTGTGTCCCAAACTGGGCCTGTTCATGGATCCTTTAAAGGATTCTGTGTCCTGCTTTGCATCCTCCCATCCCCACCACAGCCCATCTGTGGGGGATCTCTCAAGTGGGGCTCACGTGAGGGAGGGGTGAGTATGTCTGAATTTTAATGGTTCCTTATCCCTTTCTCAGCCTCTGGGTATCTGGTGATGCCTCTAGTTTATTCTGCTGAGTGCCACCCACCCCCATATAACCTTCTTGGATGGGAGAACAAAGAAGCCCATGACCGCTCCTTCTTACACTCAGCAAAACTAGGGGGAAAACTAGCATGTCAACCACCTTGTCCCAAAAAACACGGGAAATTATAGCCCTCAAAAATGCTTGCCTCCTGTGCAAGTCATCCTGTGTCTCATTCCTTAGAATCTCCAAGCTTATAAGTTAGCACTTAAAGTCTCTGGCTCTTGATTTAAGAAGAAAACTCTTCTCTTTTTGTGAGTGCGTGTATCTGTGTCTGTGTTTCTGTGTCTGTCCATCTGTCCACACGCAAATGGTGGGAGGGCTCACAGCCCCAAAACAGCTCTCTCTGCAAATGGTCTTCTAATGTCAAATCTCACTCCTTTGACGACCTAGTATGGAGAGTGTGGAAGTTAAAGTTTAGGAGTCCTGTAGTTGATTAGGGACTACTATCTTTGTATATCCTGCTCATACTTTGGATTATTTTAGCCAAATTTTTCCATTAATTTCCTATCAAAGTATCATTTCCACTTATTAGACAGAAATTTATCTTAGAATAATCTAGTTTTTACTTGAGCACATGAAGGAAACATTAGTAAAAAGAGTATAAATTCTAAATAGTGGCTGAGTTTTCTTTAAAGAAAACCATCATGGGTGCAAAAACCAAAAGTGCTCTATATTAAGAAAGATTTGAAGTCATTACTCCAGCAAACAAAAATTCCAGGCTTTTGCAGCCAAGCTGTGAATGAGGACTGACAGGCTGGAGAGAGCACTGATAAACTTCAAAGTTGAATGCAAAAAATCAAGGAATGCCCATTCTTCTGCAGTAGTAAGTCCCCAAATCAAAGAAGACAGTAGCCTGTCTTGGAGCTTAGACATTTGTTCTGCTGGGTGTGTGTCTGTGTGTATATGTGTTTACTTGATGCAGCTCAAACACAGCCTTTTGCATCAGACCCATTGGCTCTGCTGCTTAATAATAATAAAAAAAAAGAAGAAGCCTGACTTTTAAGAAGTCACTCTTTTCTAAATAGTAGTTTTCTCATTCATAAAGCTAGATCACCTCTAAGAGGGCCTCTGATTTCACACTATGGTTCCAAATATGAGGGGATGGTGAGCTGCATGGAACTATGAAGGAAGTTACTGACGATGCTTTTTGAACATCTATAAAGGGAAAGCCTGGGCTAGAAACACTTTAGACGTAGTATCTCATTCCATTCTCCCAATATCCTATGCAGTTTGTTTTTGTTTTCACTTATAAACGTGGAGACTGGATCTTTTGAAACTGAGGCTTGTCTGACCCAAATCCTTCAATATATATCTTTTTATTTCTTGGTGTTAAACTGTCTGTTTTCTGGATATAGTTGTTTTAGTTATATAATGCTACCATTGCCAATAACTAATATCTAAATCTTTCACCAGTTAATAACCAGGGCTTATTAAGGCATTCTGGATTTTTGTCCTTAAAATTGTTCCTACAAGCTATTATTCCATAAGGAAACTTCTTGCTGCTAAATAATTACTTCGCACAGCACAGTCTAGTCGCAGAACTAGGAACCTGCCTAACTTATCATGCCTGGGCAGTAGGAAGTGATAGAATCAGGAGGTTCAGCATATGGATGTCACAACAAGCCTGGCTCTGAATCCCTGAACCAGACCATATGACCCAGTCACAACTGAGAGGCCTAGGGAAAACTCTGACATCACTGCTTACTATTCTGATCAATGAATATTATAAAAATTTTTACTTATTTCATGTTTTACAATTATAAGTAAGACAGTTCATGGGGATTTAATAAATGTAGCTCTGTCATAACATGTTGCAAAGGGTGACCCAAAATGATCTATAAAAGCAAATATATGGAGTAATAGGGTAACTTCATAGGAAGATAGTTCTGAAAAATTCCTCAGTTCTGAAACTAAAATATTTTAGAACATGTCAAGCTATATTCATATTTAATGTTTCAATATACACCAAAATCTACCAAGTAACTGAACTCCAGTCTGTTTTCTTACCTTTATCCAAATTTACTTTCCTGATTTTCCTTTGAGCTTGACTAGTCTATCCACCTAGAAGAGACAATGAGCAATTTGTAGCATATGTAAGTTTTGGCTTTTTGTCATGGGACCATGATTAGGTAGCAAAAGAACCAGGAATAGCTCTCATCTTTTGGACCCATTCATGTGGATAGATGGATCAGAAAGGATTAAGCGGAAGGCCAGTCTGGACAGAATGAGGCAAGAGACAACTTCAGAGGTGGAATCAAAGAATATGAGAAAAATAAGGAGAAAAATAGAATAATCATTTCCAACCGGTCTTCCCAAGGAGCTCTTCACATTCTTGTCTTAAATGATTTCTTGCTTAGCAGAGCTTGAAGTAAAGTTTGCATGCTAATATTTTATTGAGAGTAAAAAGAAAATATTGACAGTGCAATCCGGTAAAGCCAAGTGAGTAGAAGAGAAATGATGTAGAAAGGAGGGAAACTGAGGGGTGGTGTGCTGGTGAGCCAGCTGCGACTTCTTAAGAAAGCATGGCTGGTACAGTGCTCCTGCAGGGCAGCACCAGAGGCGCATATACCGCCACATAGACCTGTCCAGCAGGAGGAGGAGAGAAGATGTATCTGCCAGTGCCATTCTACCTGCTGAGTTTACCCCATGGAGAGTTAACTCATCTATACTATTGGATAGTATTGTCCAGTGCCTTTGTGGGAACTGCTGAGGAAGCCAGACACAGGACCTAGAGTGTGCTGCCTCTGGGGCTGGGGGGTATAAAGAAGCCAGGGCCTCCATGAGCTCATGCATGCTCTCCATGGGCACCGGAGCCCTGGAGCTCACCCGCAGGGAGAACTCTAGAGTACTGCCAAAGCCTGGCCCCCACCCCTGCGGTCTTAGAAGACCGAGAAATGGTGGTAGCTGTGGCTCTCCAAGTTCTGGGCGTAGGGAGGAAGCAAACATAGGGTTCTGTAAACTGGTTGTTTTCTAGTAACTAGCTATATCTTCTAGATAATGCTTTCTCCTTTTTCATCTAAGATACGCCTTATTTCAAAGGCCCCATACAAGTCTCCCTCCTAGCCACGCTAAGAACCTCAGTTGATCCTCTAAATATTTCTTCATGCTAACAATCTGCTACCATCATTTCCAATTAAGGGCTTCTTTTTTAAAGTCAGATAATTAGAATCAGCTTTTGGGTCTTGCAGTGAAACAGGTGACTATAACTGTCTAGTTCAATCTACTCTTTTCTGTTCTTTTATATTTTTATTTTGAGATACGTAACATCCTTATTTTTATAGTCAAGAAAATGAATGCTCCAAGAGGATAAAAGTTTGGGCCAAAGTTGCTTAGCAGTAACAGAGTTGTGATCAGCACATAACTGAAACTAATCTATTTTCCTAAATGCCTGCCCCAACCCCAGACTTCCACATTGCTGTGTTGGGGTCTACTTTGACTTTGACTTCTCTCTTTTTCTTTTCCATTGTAGCCTGTCCTGTGGATCATATTCTTAATTTTCTTTTACTGCTCCTTTTCTATTCTCATTCCTGTAATCCTAGTTTAGTTCTTCATATTTATTTTTGGAAATAAATTTTAACCTCACAAACTCTCTGTACCTCTAGTTAATTTGAACCACTATTGGTAGATTCACCCTCTTGCACCATCCCTGCCTTGGAAGATTCCAGTTTCCAAATCTTCCAAGGGCTCCCAAAGGCAGGAACCTCTGCAGGGGTTTCAAGGAAACACACTGGATTGTTTCTGGTTGGAGTCAGACAAGTGCTGGCTCACCCTAGATTTGCCTGCTACATTCTCTTCCTTCAATCACATTATTATGGAATTGTTCATCTTTTAATTAAATACTAAAACTTACGTAGGCAAATTTAAATACTTTCAGCAATGTTAGGGACCTGACACCGCTGCCATCACAGGCTGCATTCTCCTGGTTCTTCTTGCCTCTTAAAATTACCTCATGCTCTTAGCTTTAGTTTTCCTCCCTCCAAGGCCAGAGCGATCCGGAGGAGTCAAATCTAAGTATCTGCAGGACTGAACCCATAAAAGGCAACCTGGCCCATGATAGGTTAAAAGGAGCCCACTCCTCAAATAAGCAATAGCCCAGCCCAAAACCAATAAAGGACCTTTCTTCCTTTGTTCCTTCTTCCTCTCTCTCCCTCACTTTCCTCTCTCCTCTCTCCCTGACCTGCCTTCCCAAATAAAGTCACCTATCGGACCTCTCAGTATGTGGCCTAGTTGTTGAGCCTCTCTGTGCCTCTACGAGCAATCTAAACAAAAAATTAAAATATTTTTCTAGAGAATGATTCCCAGAATCCCTTGATGTCATTTGACATCTCTCCTAATGTTTGTTTTTTCACAAGACTGTCTTTTCCTTGAAAGCAGTAGCATAGCTTGGTTACTGAATAGTTTCAGATTCAGAAGTTAGTATTTATCCAAGAGTTAAACTTTCCAATGCAAGACAGATAATATGTGTAAGTAATTCAAAAGAATTTCAGAAAGGTCCTATGCTGGTTCTACCTTCTAACTAGTTTTTCTCTTCATCTCGCTTTCTAAATATCCAAGAGTAGAATTTCCAATAAAGTAAAATATAGTGAAGTAAAAAGACCAGCCTTCTCAACTTTTTGATAACACATTGATTTACCTTAAATCTCATGGTGTAAATTGATTATCAAATATCAACCGCCTACCTTTACAAAACTCAACTCTGTGTACCATGGCCATAATCATTTTTCCAATGCTTAAGTCTCCCCGCAATGACAAGCATGGTGCCACATGCCTATAATTCCAGCTCTCTAGGAGGCTGAGGTGGGGAGGTTTGCAAGTCTGAGCCCACCTGGGCAACTTAACAAGACCCTGTTGTAAAATTTAAAAGATAAATATAGGGCTGGTGATACACCTTGAGTTCAATCTCCAGAACTGTAAATGAAATTCAAGCCCCTAGAAGCAGACAGGGGACATGGAATGAGAGTCAAATGAAGATATTTGTAGATTTAATAAAACATGCTTCTCCCTTGAATCCTAGATTGCTTTGTGGATGTTGTGGTTGGATTTGATATCTCAACTCAGCTGAAAGGGCAGACTTTGCTCACAGGTCAGCCGTGGATGGGAACCTACCTTCAAGACATCTTACGGGCCATCAGTTCCCTCAATGGGGTGAGCTGTGAGGTGGGCACTGAGACTCAGGTTAGTGTGGCTTTTCAAGTGACAAATGCCATGGAAAAATATTCTCCCAAGTTCGAGATCTACAGTGAAAACATCCTGAACAGCTTAAAGGATGTGACTGTTAAAGGCGCTTCTCTTCTCGATGTGAACCTCCTGAGCTCCCTGTGGGACGCCTTTCAGAACAAGTCTGCTGCTCGAGGAAAGGTGACATGATTTCATTCTGTTTGTCTGTAATTGCAAGGAACTTCATTTTACTCATCTTTCTTCTCTTTTGTAAACATCCCTAGGTGGCCCTTTTGTTTTCAGATGGATTGGATGATGATATTGAAAAACTTGAACAAAAATCTGATGAAATTAGAAAAGAAGGTACTGAAAGTGGAAGAGCAGTGGGAAAGAATTTAATTTATTTATTAACTTTATACTCTCAGCACTGAACTCTAGCTCTAAAGCTTCATGACATTCAAATAACCATGAACTGGCCTTGGGATGTAGCTCAGTGGCACTGTGCCTGCAGGGCAAGCCCAAAGCCCTGAGTTCGACCTCCAGTACCACAAAAAACAAAACAACAACCACCCAGATAACCATGAACTAGACATTGTTTCTATTCTGTGTGTGGAGAAAATGAAGGCTTGGAACATTGTACCATCTGCTTTCCCCCCATGCTATATATGTACGAAACAGTATTAAACACAAAGGCCTATTCTTTCTCTTGTGTGAGGATATTTCTTCTTCCTAACTTTTCTGGAGAACATCTTTTCCCCTTGCTCCACGTTATCTAATATTGCTAATATTGCTAATCTAATATTGCTAATTTCGTTCTGGGACAACCATGGTGTTTATGAGCTTTAAAAATTCTAGCCCTGGCTTTGGGCTTCTATACCAAATGACCAGTCTTACTTATTGTCAGTCCTTGTTGAAATGTGGATCAGGGTAGGCAAAATGCATCTGTGTATTTCAGTTTGACTAAGAAACACTCTTCTGTCAGTGGACACAATAGCTATTGTGCCCAGGACCCCTCTGCTTGCGGGTTCACCATCTATCAATTGCTGCTACAACTCAAGACTCACTCATTCTGTTAGGAATTGCACGTGGCCAATGAGGGTCCCTCAATTGAGAGGTTACTCCCTGTACCACTCCTGGGTGACAGAAAGTTTATGTTCCAGAGCTCCCTGTGACCAGGCTAAAGGTAGATGCAGCTAAGACATTGTCTTGCTCAGTTGCTTTCCCTTCATTCTCCCCCTTTCCTCTCCCCGCCATCTGAGTGTGCTCCTTCAACAAATTGTGCACAACTAGATCTTTATGTTGGGCTGTGCTTCTAGGGAACCTGACTTGAAGACATCTGCTTCTCAGCTTAGTGAGCAGATGCTGACTGGACTTAGTCTTTTGTGTTCAGTTTTCTTGTCTCGATCTTAAACTATAAAGTTCTCTGAATTTACAGCCCTAGGGTAAAGGCTTTTATTTTATTTTTTTACTTACTAATGCTGCCTTCTCTTTATCAAGATTTGGCTTCATAAGCTGTAATAGAGATTTTAATAAGATCAAGACTAAGATCGTAGAGCACTTAATTTGGGTAGACAGTTCCCTTATTGTTTTGAGTTTTCCTTTTGTGGAGAAAAGATGTATCTCTTCCTGAAAATTTCTTCTAGGAAGTCCTTTTAAATCTACAGAAGGCTAATTCCAATTCCCACTGAAAAACCAGTAGATGATTATCAACTTCAGAAACTAGATTTTTAAAATAATCCTCAAAACCTTAAAATCTTTGAAAAGGGGATAAACAAATGATGATAATATTCTTTGAAAAGGGTAAAATGGCTCTCAAGAGGGACAAGTATCCTGCCCCTGGCTTCTTATATGCAATTAAGCACATATGACCTCAGTTGGTGAGTCCTGTGTACTCTCTCATGCAATTCTGTATTTAATTTAAAGATTACAGTGGGTAGATATCCCAAGAGATTCTGTTTCCAATAAACTTTTGGGTAATGCCAAAGTCATGACTTCAAGAATCCAACAGTAGAACAGGTACTTTCTTGATATGTAAATTCCTGGGCCTTTCTTTAACTCACTGCCTCACTTCAAATCAGGATGCAGAAAGTTCTATTACAATTTCCCTTGTCTCCCAATTTCATTAGATTATCATGGTCATGTCCCTTACTAGCATCATAACACAGGGACAACAGAATGAGTATTCTTCTTGCAACTGTTTATTGAGAGTAGCAATATAAATATGCAAGAAGATTAAAGTAACCAAATTTGCCTCACCTGGAGAATTATGAACTGTGTTCAACAGGCCTGAATGCCCTCATAACTGTGGCTCTCGATGGAGCTGCCCATTCCGGTGACCTGGCTGATCTCCTCTACATTGAATTTGGAAAAGGATTTGAGTACAGGACACAGTTCACTATCGGCATGAGGGACCTTGGGACTCAATTGTCAAAGCAGCTGGTAAGTTATTCAAAAATGGCTACCAAATTTAAGTTGTCAGCTTGCCTCTAGGTTTGGTATTTATTTGTGAATTTGAACTAATTCTGATCATTTGTGAATAAATACATGCTTTGCAAGTGCAAGGACCCGAGTTCAATACCCGGTACCCCCCCAAAATAAATAAAATTAAATTTTAAAATAAAGACATGCTTTCTAAATTAGTGAATGGCCCAATAAAGTGTTTGATATGCTTAGCAAAAAAGAAAAAAGAAAATGAAGGAAAATATCTATAGCTTAATATTTAAATTACAGTCCATAAACATAAGTGCCAAAAAGAAGTTGAGATGAGCGTGACCCAGCTGTGCCAGCTCACTTTCCTTGAAGAGCTAAGAGCACAGCTCATCTTGCTCAGTTTTTTAAGAGGAGTGTTTCCCTGCAACATGGCTGTGAATGAGAGTGAATTACATGCGGAGTTCAGCAAGAGAAAAAGCAGACTGCTCCAAGGCTTGAGGGAAGACTAATGAAAATAAATCTCAGATACTATACTTTGAATGAGTGAGGGATTTTCAGGGTTGTCTTCTCACTCTGAGATTCTTGCCATAATTATATTTTTAGAACTGAATGCCTATGTAAGTTGCATTTTATTTCTTTGAGAAACAGCCCTGATTCAAACTTGAGTGGTGAAGTGTTACCAAACTTCACACTACTTTTACTTTAATGAATGGCTAATGATTTGTTTAAAAAAATTTTTTTGGTGGTGGTAGTGGTGGTACTTGGGATTGAACACAGGCAAATACTAGGCAAATGCTGTACCACTGAGCTGTAATCCTAGCTCTTTTTGAGACAGGGTCTCACTTTGTTGCCTGGGATAGCCTTAAAGTTGCAATACTTTTGCCCTGACCTCCAGAGGAGCTGGTATTGTGCACATATACTACCACTCTCACCTGTGATTTGTTTCTAATTTGTAAAATGTTTAATCAAAATATCAGGATACTTTCCAATGAAATGCTAGTTCCTGCTGTTTTCCATCAATAGAATTCAGTAATTATGTAAAAATAATTCTTGAATGAATATGGAAATTTGTTGGCATTTCCTGTCCTATGTGGAAAACTTTATTTCGTGAAATTTATTTCTTCTAATATTCTTTGAAATGTGTATTAATAATTGATAGAAGGAAGTTTTTCTTCAAATCAAGACTGTAAATTTTAGCTATCATATAAATGTTATATAAGAAAAACTTAATTTTAGAAATAGATCAATTTTAATCTTAATAGATTTGCTGTCAGACTTTGATAATCAAATAAAATTGTTATATAATATGAAATCATAGAACTCACATTGTTGTTTAGTTTTATACATTTCACAATTTTATTGCTTTTTCTGAAATTTTCAGGAAAAAAGATTTTATAATGTCAAGAAATATAATAGATATTATATAAAATAAATATATAATAAAGAATTATACAAAATATACAGTCAAAAAATTACTAAATGGTTATAATAAAAACATTTTTAGCTTTTATTGCACTAAAATTTTAATGAAAAACTTTGCAATACAAAGTTTAATTCTATCCCACTAAAGTGATTACTGCAAACAGAATTTTCATAAAATAAATCTGGTGGGCAATGTAATATGTCAGCTATTCAGAAGATGGTGAAGTCAAAGATGAAATTTACTCATATCCTAAAATATATGATAAAGTTTAGGTCAGCATATGAAGAGTAATGCTCTCTCCATGACCACACTTTCTACATCAAGTGCCTGCAAACTGTTAGCATGTAATGGTTGCTTTTGAAATCCTGTAAAGAATGTTCTGGAATTGTTACTGTTAGGCCATTCTAAGCATCATTGCAGTGGGCACTGCCTCAATCATCCTGCATACTAAAATTTCACAAAATGGGGAAAGGTGAAAACTGTATGTATATTATTTTATTGAACAAAGGATTTGGGGCTGTGTGTTAATAGGGTTATTGACAACACCATGGTCAGTGCTACAGTGGGGCATTGAGAACAAGCAGCCACACTGAGAGATTGGAATACAATGAGTAGACACCATGGTTAAACTGATTTTGGAATTCTTCAAATGGTAGGGGATGTAGATTACAGAAGGAAAGTTGGAAGCAAAAGAATCTCATGTACTTGCTGTAAAGCGTGGTCATGTTAATGGTCAGTAGGCTTTTGAGATGATGGTAAAAGCCCAGATCACACCAGTGAGCATGTGTTTGTGTGATTTGGGAAGCAATACCAGCCAACATGGTGTATCTCTCACACTCTGCCAAGATCAATGTTGCCGAAAGGACGTGCTGCTGTTTGTTCTGCAAGTGTATCGGAGAAGATGGCACCATAGGAGATCCTGGACCACCAGGGAAAAAGGTAACTCTCCGCTGAGATATAGGGATCACTTATGTGAATTTAGAGTATCTTTTGAACATGGGTCTTGACAGAAGAAATAAGGGGTGATTTCAATTTCTAGATAAAGCCTCAGAAGTAACCATTTATTACAGTCCTTTTTTAATTTGTCAAATTAAATAGTTGTCAGTTTCCTTTGACATTCTTAATTTGAATCCCTTTTTTAATAATTCTTAGAGAAATTTTGGGAGAAACAATTGTAAAAATCTTGATTACTCAAGTTCAAGTAGGTATGACATCTATGCAAAAAACTCCACAGTGTTCCCTTGTGTTGAACAGTGAAAACCTCCCTGATGCTGACAGCTCATTTCAGTTACCATTTTTAATGCTGACAGAGTCATTAAAATTAAGTAGATATGTTGGGCAGTCAGCTGAAAAGCCAAATCAGGTCACTGTGCATAGCATATATTAAGATCTTCCTGTTTCACAGATACATACACCAAAAGACAAGACAGTTACTTAAAAAGAAAACCAGCAACACTAATTTCATATATTCTGTTTCCCCCAAAATAAAACCCAGCTGGAAAATAGCCTTGAAAACTAGAAATCACAAATGCCAGCCCCAGTCAACCTGTCCTTGTCTGGTCTGCTGTCACTGTTCTCTTGCTCATGAGGCAAGGCTGAGCTGACTAGAGCTGGCTCTTTTGATTTCTAGTTTTCAAGGCTGATCATTTGCTGGCTGGGTCTTATTTTGGGGAAAAGAAGGTATTTCCTGATTAAAAGAAAAGTCTATGTACTCTTATATAAAAATATTATTTGTGACTTTAAGAAATGTTCAAATATATACAAACACTATGGGATATGTTTACAACTTTGATACCAGTTGTTTACGTGTTTGATTTTTTTTAAAATAATATATAGGTCATGCTGTAACTCTCAAATCACTGCAACTGTGCCTCTGAAGGGAGTTTTTGAACTAGTTATTTCCTGAAAGCTTCAACTTCACGTAAAGACAATGACAGAATTCAGAACAAAACAAAAACAGAGGGCTTGTGAAGAATAGAAGGAAATGTTTGTGGTCTGTTTTTGTAGGTGTGACATAAATGATACAAAGGTTTTTTTTTATGAAAGAGGATAATTATAGCCTTGCAGGAGCAAATATAGTTGATTTGTTTGGATGTCTGGCATATAGGTGCACATGCACACATGCGCACACACACAGGCTCTTGGGTAATCTGGATACTTGTCTCAAAATTCCATGTTTCCTTATGTGTACAGATGCAGCCTGGGTCAGAGAGGGAGGATTTTCTTCCCCATACCCTTACTTTCCACCTGAAGTAAAACTGTAAAGTTGAAGTTTGCTTGGGCACTTCCTGGTTTTTGTTATAGTGCTAACGTTTTCTCCTTTTTCTTATTTCCAGGGACCCACAGGTTTTAAGGGCAGTGAAGGCTACCTGGGGGAGGAAGGTGTTGCTGTAAGTTAAGGATTATTTTTCTAGCTCCATTTATTCCTAAAAACAGATGTACAATATGTAGTCCCTTGCTTCATTTCACAGGGAAATAGAAAGCTCAGATTCTAAAGATTTATGTGCAAAAACAAGGTCCCTCCTAATTGTCCCTGTGATTTGTTTCTAGTGGCAATTAGTGGTTTATTAACCTACTTTGAAGGCCTCACTTATTAACTCATTTGTCCATTCATTTAAAATATATTAAGTATCTTCTATGCCAGGCACAATGCTAGGCTCTAGAAATAGGAAAAAATATAGTGCCTGGCTTATAGAACCTCCAGACTAGTGGTGAGACGAACAAGATGTACAGACCAGGTGGAAGAGCAGGGACCTAACCCCCTCAGCAGCAGTAGTAGCCATAGTAGAAGTTGGGGCTTGAGGGGAAGACGCTGTAAACAAAGGGCTATGCTCAGGCAGACACTTGAAGGACAAGTAGAAATTTCTCCAGCAAAGTGTGTAGGAAAGAACATTCCTCCATGCGAGAGGAAGTGTGTGTAAAGGCACACAGCGCAGTCACAGAATTGCATGCTGCAAAACAACACATGGCTGTAGCCTAGGACCTTGCAGGAGTAGGTGACGTCACTGGGAATAGTCAATGGCTTGCAGAAGTTTTGCATTGTGTCCCTAGCTGATGGTAAGACACTGATGTTAAGCAGGGAGTGACAGCAGAGGGGACAGTCGAAGGATGCTCAGGCAATGTTACGGATGCTGAAGAGGCTACAGGAGAAAGTCTTGTAGTCATAGGTACAAGGCAATGAGTTCCTAATTTGGGTTTGGAGTGGTATGAGTGGATATATTGAAGAGGCTGAAAGACATAATTTGGTGACCACTTGGGAGAAAGAAGCCCACACAAGTAATATGTGTGTGGATCCCAAACAAAGGGCTGGCCTCATAGTAACTCTGATTACTGCACTGTTTTTAAGCATAAACTCTGAATTACAAGCCCATTCGCAGTCACACACAGTTCCCCCACAACAACAAAAAAAACTTGTCAAACGTCTAACATGGAATCCAGATTGTAGTAGAAACAGCTCACCTGGCCACATGTTCTTTCTTAGGGTGAGCGAGGAGCCCTTGGACCAGTGGGACAGCAAGGTATTAAAGGATGCCATGGTACCAAAGGTCCCAAGGTGAGAACTGTGTAAGACGTTGTGACAGCTTCTCAACACTTAGTCCAATTTTCCTACATTAATTATCACCGTCCTTTCTGTTTTCAGGGAACCAGGGGACTAAATGGAGAAGAGGTATGGTACCAGGCCCACCCATTTATTTGCCCATCTGTTTTTTAGAAATATTTTATTTTTCAGATTATTGGTAGAGCTTACAACTAAAGCTTCTGTTGACTTCCTTTTCATTTTAATGTTAGTCATTTCATTTTGCTTATTTCTGTCTTTTATTGCTGGTGATGTATGCTATTTGTTGACAGTGTTTATTGCTGAAAGTAATTTTTTATATACTTAGCATAGCCTAAAAAGAAAATGTAAAATTAGATGGTTTTTGTTTGGTGTCTGGCTTGGTTCCACATAGATATTATTCACCGCATTCTAATGACATCTATCTTTTCAGGGAGAAGTTGGGGAACTTGGAATCATTGGATTAAGTGGAGAACAGGTAGAGCTTTTCCGTATACAACAGAAACGCCCCTGAGCTATCTCTCATTAAGACAATGGAAATTTGACTTTTCCCTTCTCTGCTTTTAGGGTGATAGTGGCATTCCTGGAAGAAAAGGAGAAAAGGGCGATGAGGGGTCCCAGGTAAGGATTCAATAAAGGGAAAACATAAAAACCATATTGGAAAGTAAAGATGAAAGCCATGGAATAAAACAGTTACCCTAGGTGCATCTTCAGTTATTGCCACAGAATTCTTCTGTGACAAACACTCATGAAACTCCAGTTAGACAGAGCAATAAATAAATCAGCTGCTAGCCTTGAGTGGTTCATGTGAAGCATAGATGACTTGGCTCATACATCTGTAGTTTGGCTGGTGGTTTTGTTCCCTGTATTTCTTGCCCTTGAGCGCTCAGGACCAGTGTGGCAATGTTGGCCGCAATCTTTTCACAGTGAAGGCAGAGTGCAAGAGAATAAGAAGAAAGATAAAAGATCTCTCAAGGCCCTGAGACCGTGGTTCAGCACTGTCACAGCAACATTTCTTTCTGTTGGCCACACTGAGTCAGGCAGCCAAACTTGGGAGAGGGGCATCTTACCCACTACAGTTGGAAAACACTAGAGTTACACGGAAAAAGACACAGACTCAGGGAGAATTGAAATATCGAGTTTGTTGCCCTAAGAACAGGAGGATGTTGACTCTGGGGCAAGGCAGCCCCAAAGGGTTATCTGCCACTCATACCCATCTGAACAACCTCCACAGCCACACTTCAGGCATCTGCTGTGCCCTTAGTGGGAAAATTGAATGAAGAATCTATTTTCTGGTTAATGAAACCGCTTTGAGCAAACTGCATGATCTTTCTGAGTCTCAGGTGCCTCATTAAAACCGAAAAAGATGATAAACAATACCTGGTTCATAGAATAGTTGCAACAACAAAACAAGGTGACAAATGTGTCTGGAATGCAGAGTTCACCACTGTGGCAAATAATTGAATTCACCATTGAATTATTTATATGTAAGACCCGAAACTATTTTTTGATGGCTTCTTTTTCCCAGTTCAAAAATAACCTCAATGTAACACATTTAATTATTCTAGCCAGGGAGAATGTCAGTTCTTTGTTTATTCTTGTTAATTTTATTCCACATTTTCACCTTGTCCTTATTGTGGTTTGTATTAACTCCAGGGAAGCCCAGGAAAGAGAGGGAGCAAAGGTGATCATGGAGCGAAGGGTCTGAGAGGAGACCCGGTAAGTGCCAGGGCTGAGGGGCGTTGCCAGGGCTCCCTCTTTGTAGCCCTTCTGATAGGGAACGATGTCTCCATGTTACAGTACTACAAAAGCAATCTTGAGCTTAACACATCACCACCATAACTGTCATAGAATTTTTAAATCAGGTACCTGTGCTGAATATTCTTCATACATAGACTTTCTTATTTTTATTAGTACATGTTTGCAGTACATAATAATCACACACCTTTGGAGTATTGGTACATGTACATAACACATCTTAAATCTTTTTTCATCCTTTCCCTCCCACACCCCTCCCTCCATCTCTGGTTTCCTTTCCCCTTTATCAAAGATTTATCTCCCTGACTCCTGTTATTTACTTTTGGGGTTTCTCATATATGAGAGAATCATGTGGTATTTAAGCCTACCTGTCTGATTTATTTCACTTAACATGGACTTAAGGTGTATCCATTTTCCTACAAATGACTCAAGTTTATTTTTCTGTATGGTAGACCAGTACTCCATTGTGTATAAATACCACATTTACTTTATCCATTCATCTATTGTTGGACGCATAGGCTGCTTCCAAGATTTAGCTATTATGAGTTGTGCTGCTATAAATATGGGTGTGTATGTATTTCTGTAATATGACGTCTTTGATTCTTTTTTATTTTGGTATCAGGGATTGAATTCAGGTCCTTGAGCTTGCGTGGCAGGTGGCAGAAACACTGAACTAAATCCCTGGCCTTGATGTCTTTAATTCTTTTGGAATGATCTATAGAAGGGCAATAACTGAATTGAATTGAATTTCTATTTTTAGTTTTTGAGGAATCTCCATACTGATTTCCATAGTGGTTGCACTAGATTATATTCCCACCCACAGTGTAGGAGGGTTCCTTTTTCCCTGTAGCCTCACCAGTGTATGTAATTATTTAACTTCTTGATGCTAGTCATTCTTTCTGGATGGAATCTCCATGTTTTAATTTACACTTCTCTAATGGCCAGATATGTTGAACTTTTTTTCATGTATTTATTGGCCATTTGTACTACTTCTGAGAAGTACCCATTCATTTCAGTTGCCCATTTTATTATTAGATCTTTTATTTTGGGAGGGGTCTAATTTTTGGAGTTCTTTATATATTCTAGATGTTAGTTTTCTGCTTGAGGAGTACTGGTAAAATGTTTCTCAGTCTGTAGGTGTCTCTTCACTCTGTTGTTTCCTTTGCTGTGCAGAAACTTAAATTTATTATTTCATTTGTTGATTCTCCATGTTGCTTCTTGTGCATATGGGACTCTGTTCAGAAAGTGTTTGCCTACACCTATGTCTTCAAGAAGTTTACCTAAGGGAGAGCAGGCATATGGGGCAAAAATAAGAACCAAGACATATCATGTAAAGGTACAAGATCCCAATGATAAAAGTAACCATATTGTTTGCTTTAAATGTACCAATAAACTTAATGGGAATAAATTCTAAAAATGTAATATTACTCTTGAAAAGTAAAAACAAAAAAAAATCCCAGAAGTTGTTTACCTATTTTTATCTTCTGGCAGAATTTTTTTTTTGGTACGGGGGATCAAACTCAGGACTTTGCACTTGCCAGGCAGATGCTGTGCCACTGAGGTACATCCCTGGCCCTAGTAGATTGTTTCTTTTAAAACGTTTAGATCTTTGATCCATTTTGATTTTAGTTTAGTACATGATAGATATGGGATATGGGGTTGGATCCAATCTTCTGCATATGGATATCTGTTGTTTCCAGCATCATTTGTTAAAGAGATTGTCCTCCAGCATGTTTTTGGCTCCATTGTCAAAGCTTATGCAGCTGAATGTGCCTGCAGTTGTTTCTGCATCCTCTATTTTGTTCCAGTGATCCACATGTCTGTGTTTTTTTGTCAGTACCATGCTGTTATTACTGTAGCTTTGTATTATAAATTGAAGCCTGGGATTATTATGCCTTTTGCTTTGCTTTTGTTGCCCAGGATTGCTTCTGCTATTCTGGGTCCATTCTGTTTCCAAATGAATTTTAAGATTGTTTTCTGTAGTTCTGTGAGGAATGCTGTTGGTATTTTGACTGGGGTTACATTAAATCTGTAAATCAGTTTGTGGGGTATGGCCACTTAACAATATTGGGTCTGAGAGAAGGGTGGATGTCTTTCAATTTTCTAGTGTCCTCTTCAGTCTCCTTTTCCAGGGTACTGTAGTTTTTGTTGTAGACATCTTTCACTTCCTTTGTTAAATTAACTCCTAAGTATTTAATTTTTCTTGATGCTATTATAAATGGTATTGTTTTCCTAATTTCTAAGTAAGTCCATTATTGTTGTACAGGAACAACTGTAACTTTTGTGTTGATTTTGTATCCTGCTACATTATTGAATTAGATTCTTACTTCTAGGAGTCTTTTGGCAGAATTTTTGGGTCTTCTATGTAGACCTAAATGTTGTTTGAAAATAGTGATAATTGGACTTCTTTCCTAAACATATTCCTTGTATTTCTTTTTCTTGCCCAATTGTTCTGGCTGATGTGTCAAGAACTATATTGAAGAAGAGTGGTCATAGTGGACTTCCTTGTCTTGCTCCTGATTTTAAAGAGAAAGATTTCAGTTTTTCTCCACTTAATATGATACTGGCAGTGATTTTATCATTTAGAATCATTCTCATGTTGTGGCATGAGAGAAATTCTAATGCACTCCACTCTCTTCCTTCTGAGGACTTCAGCAAATAGACAGAATGGGGAAACAAAACTTTCTCTTTCTTTCTTCCCCTAGTCACCAAGAGTTTGCCTCACTTGAGACTATCAACATCATTTCTCTGAATCCAAGGATCCAGGGAAGACTTTTTCAGGCAAAACTTATGACAGGAAGATCCCTGCTCTCCCAGGGACAAAATCCAATGAAAGAGATGTGACTCCCACCCAGACAGACTCCCAGCAATGGGGAATAGGCCAAATCCAGGGCATCGTCATGCTGTAGGATTTTCATCACCATGCACCTCCAAAACCTTAATGAATTAGGACTTAGATTTAAGAAAATGTTTACTGAACTTTTTGTTGAACTTTAATATATATCAGAAATATGTACAACTGTGGGTGCCTTGATCAGCCACCTGGGTAAAGAAATAAAAAACACCATTGTCCCAGAAGCCTGCTTCATGCCCAGTTCAATCCACCTTCCCCAAGATAATCACTATTTTAGCACCATAAATTACTTTTACCTGTTCTTAAACTTTTGGTAATTGGAATATTTTCTGTCTGCTCCACTCTGTCTGGCTTCTTTTGCTCTACTTGATGCTTGTGAGATTCACGCACACTGTTGTGCATAACAATTGTTTCTTTGGTCTCATTTGCTTTATGGTATTCCATCATGTGAATATACCATGATTTCATTATCCATTCTGCTACTGTTTTATATTTGGGTTGTGTCTAGTTGTTGCTTTTATAAATAGTGTTTCTATGAATATTCTTATATATGTCCATTAGTGGATTTTGTACATATTGTATTGGGTGTATACTTCAGGAGCCGAATTTCTGGATCAAGACATGTATGTCTACATTTATCTTAAGTCTTTACAGTCAGAGTATTCTCAAGAAAGTTTGATTCATACTTCTTCAGCAATGTACAATGGTTGTGTACTACATACTCATAAGAATGGCTGCAGTTTATAAAAACTGACACCAAGTGCTGATGAAGATGTGGGAGAACTGGAAATCTTATGGGACTTTTTCTTTACTAGATCCTGGACTGGCAGTTTGGCTCAGTGGTTCCATCACCTGCCTTGCAAGTGCAAGGGCCCAAGTTCAATCCCCGGTACCAGTACCAAAAAAAAAAAAAAAAAAAAACCAATTTATTTAATAGATCCTCCTCCAATATATAATGTATCATCAGAAAAATGAGTTAGTACAATATGTGTTGACAAATGGAGATATAGGTATGCTCTGAAGATAACTTTATTTAAAATGAAGAGGAATTTACACTTGAAGAAAACACTGCTTAGGGAATGATGTCTTCTGATAGTCTGAACTGAGAATTTTCAAGCACCTTCAAAGTGTTTAATTTAGAATCAAAATTAATCACAATAAAAGTAATTATGAAATAGTTCAAGTAAATAGACATTTCAGTCTGACATGAAAAACAGAAATTCATTTGAAATATTGATATACAATTTCCATTAACTGATCGGAAACTCCCCTAATTGTCTGCTATAGAGTGTGAATGATGTATAATTTTATTTTAAAAGAAATGGTGTGTGACTTCAAGATAGCTAAAATTCAACCTACCAGAGTGTGTGTAATGTGATGCTTATCAACTTTACTAATTTAGATGTTTTTTCAATACCTAACAATCCTTCCAACCTGCTTAGGACATCTGAAATTTAAAACAACTCTGTTTTTAATGCATGGTTTTAGAGGGTTGCTATTTCAAGAAAGATTTTGGAGAGCAAGATTGATGGAATAACTAGAACAAACATAATTAGATTATTCATAGGAATGCGTGCAAATGACACAAATTCCTGAAAAATCTAAGCTTATCCACTTAGAATTTCTGATCATACAGAAGCTCATTTTGCTTCCTACTTTTTTCATGTAATGCTTGGGGGAAACTGAGTTAAACCATTTATCTGATCTACAGAGGCTAGGAAGCTTCATCTTTTGACAACATCAGTCTAAGAAGGCCATGCTTAATCAAAAATTTTTGTTAAAAGATGTTCTTTTGTCTAGTTGTATAGATTGTAGAAAATCTAAACTTGTTTGTACTCACATTGACAAATTTATCTATATACAATTTATATTGGTTTGAACAGTAAAAGGTGCTGATGTGTAATTCTTTTCTTATGTTGTCTCTTCAGTAAAATCCTTTAGGTTGAACTACAATAAGGAACTAACATGTTCAATGAAATAAAATTCTAGACTTTACCTTCATTTTAGTTGCCTGCATTTTTTTTAACCAAAATACAATCTTCTATGTATTTACTTTAGGTGTGCGCTTCTTAGAGTGTTTAAGAGTCAAATATGTAAACTTAAGGAGAGGAAATTAAAATGTAGAAAGTAATTTTGATATCTAAGGGAAGATATAATTTTCATGTACACTTTAGTAATAGAAGTTACATAGAATAAATTCCAAGTTCATTTTATGTGCAAAAACTATTTACTTAAAAAAGCTTAGTATCTGAAACAATGATATGCCTCTGTTGGTGATTGCAAATTACTTATTGATTGATGGAGGTAATCTGGGCTGCTGTATCAGCAGAACAGCCTGGCAGCTGGCACTCAGCAGGTCTGGATAATTGTTGTCTCCTCTAGATTCATTGGAACATTGTTTAAATTGACTGGCTCAATTGATTTTCTCAGCACCATGGAGTCAGATCTGTCGGTGGTCCTTATAGCCAAGTTGGAAGGCTTTTGGGCTGGCCTGATAAGGATAACATCCTCCAGCATGTGCCCTTTTCAGAAGTTCCTCATGGAACATTCACATGAATATGAGCAGATTCTAGAATTCCTTGAAAACCATAAAAGTATGGACTAGCATATGGGGAGAGGGTGTAAGGACAGCGAGATTTCTAGAAGTAGAAAGGGAAGTGTGGCAGGGATAATCCCCACCGCCACGCAGTGTGTTCATTTTACTCAGGTGGACCCATCATCAGCGTTGGTTGTCTTCCCACAAGATAGGAAAGTATAGTCTACCTATACTATACTATATTATAGTATACTATACTATACTATATAGTATACCTATACCTCAGTGTCTAGGCACTGAGGAAATGTGGAAAAGGTAGGAGGAGAGGGCCAGTAGTAAGAAGAGTACCTCCAGACCCTGGATAAGAAATGTCATCCGCACAAGTCATGTCACGCTTGTTTTTCCCTTGGCTGTGTTTTCTAGGCTTCGCTCTGGCTCCACCCCCACCCCTAACAAATCACTCACCTAAACTCTCTATTCTCATTCTGCCAATGCCAAACAGAGGAGAAAGAGAAAATATGTGTGAGCCACTTGTAATTTCAATCTATTTCTGCTTTGTCTTGTCGGGTTTTTGAGGGATAGCTAAATCTTATGCACAAGTTACATTTTTAAGGACAGCAGTTCAAAACCTATTAATTTTTCTTTTTCTTTATTCTTTGTAGGGAATCCCTGGATATGACAATATCATACAAGGACCCAAGGGCTTGAAAGGAGAACATGGAAGACAAGTAATTACATGGGCATTTGAAAGCAAACTTCTCAAATGATGCCATAACTGTGAGGCTCAAGTTCTTACAGTATTAGAACATGAAATGCTTGATAAAGAATTTGGAATCAAGTGTATATACTTGGTAAAGGAAAACTAGTAGGATCAAAAGATCTTTTACTTCTGCTTATCTACTACTCTGGGATTCAAAAAACATTCTCTTCTCATTTGGGAGACTTACTACACCATGTCCTTAAGATCTTCATTTGTGAATACAAACTTCTAAACACTAAAATGTAGGACCAGCTGACTTAAAAACAACAAAAAACACTGCTAGCAAAAAACTTCTTGGCCTTCTCAGTATCTAGAGGATACCGTCCCTAAAAGAACATAGTATTAATGTAATTAAAAAAGAACAAAATCTGGTAGATCTAAATGGCCTATACCCCCAAGGCAAATCTCTTCATTTTGATCTTGTGAAATCTTATAATTCACAATTTTCTCATCTTAACTTGCTTTTCAAGATTTTTTTTTTAAATGATTACCTGAAAAATGTGTTTCTCTGGTTCCTCTGGATGAAAAGGGTCTTTTATAATTCTACCCAGGGAAGGAGTCGGATAAGGTGGAGAGAACTTTGGAGTCAGGCCTAGGTCCTGACTCAGGCTTTATCCCTCGCCAGCCTCATGGTCTGGGGCCACTTTCTACAAACTTCAATTTTTTTCATGTGCAAGATAGGGTAAAGCATGTATATTTGTACGTCCCAGATTCATAAATGATTCCATACTTTTTCCTCTTGGGAAGACTTATAAGTATCTTGAGATTTAACCCACAGTGTGGTGTTAACATACACAAATTAGCCAAAGAAGAAATCCAAAGGCAGAAATCCAAACCAGGGTCATTCCTGACACATAACATGCTACACTGGGTTGACACAACGGGTAGAGTTTGATTTGAATACTCTGTGACACATACCCCAAACACAAGTTAGACAGTAATAATGAGCAGATGAAGCCACACGGCAGGTGTTTCATCCTGCTGATCCTCAAGGACCACATGGAGATGTGATTTATGAGCAGTGGAGGTTAATGCCACTTTCCAAAGCAAGAATGCTGTCATTGGTATAAACCCTTCTGTGTCCTCCCCACAGCACAAGCTGATGTTGAAGAGGAACTGTGTCAATGCTGTGTAACTGCCTCATACATCTATGTGTTCCTTTGACAGGGTAGAAGAGGCTGGCCAGGCCCCTCTGGGACACCAGGCTCCAGGAGAAAGACAGTAAGAGCCCAAGGCCTTCTACACAGAGAGAACATGACTCCAATAACTTATATTATGATGAAAATGATTGCTTGTGGGGAGTGGGTGGGACTGGTGCAGGGAGGCTCATTATCCTAGGAATGCTGACCTAGGGTATTGCTCGGGATAGGATTGCTAAGAGGCTTAGGAAAGCCCCTGAAGCTGAGGGAGGAAAGTGCTGGCTGTGGCGAGATTATGCATCAGGAGTGAAATTAACAAAGCCACTAACAAGGGAAAAGGGTCAAAATTTGGCCCACTTGCTAGGCCAACTGAAGCTGCCAGTGATGTCATTTTGAGTCCATTTTTATGACTTAAGTCAGTCTTGGTGTAGGCGTATATTTGAGGGTTAAATTAGGTCACTTGTGATAAAATCATTTGCAGGTATTTTTGGATGCTTTTTAAAAATTTATTTTGTGGGGGTTTTACAAATGCATACTTGAAAAAAGTTTCTGTGCTTGACTTCTTATTAAAGAAAAACTATACCCAATAAGGAGAGACAATTTTCATGAATTCAACGAATTCACTAACCTTCATTAGAGTCTAAGTTAAGTTCATTTTGTCTCATTTGCAGCACTTTTCTTTTTTATTATTTAGTTCTCCATCCGCATGCTCATCTTCTCTGCAAGTCAGTGAAAATGGAAAAAACATCCATGCTTAAAGAATTTGCTGGCTAGGAAAGCATAGTGCCAATGCTATTTTAATGCATATAAAGATAAAAATGCATTCATTCACTTTGTAAAAGGGTGTAGCAGGCTTACATACCCCTGGAAAATATTTTCAACTTAAAGAATATCATCCAGGAAATTCTGGCATAGGAGGATGTGCATTTATGGTTTTATAGCCTCTAGAGGCTAATGCAGCATGACTAAGTATTATTTAAACCACATAGCTCCCAAGAAATGCGGCCTCATCTTGGATTATAGATTCAGCCATGTCGTTCAGAGATAAAAGCAGGGCTTCTAGTTAAAAATGGCAAAATCAGTGTGTCTTTTATATTCTTCTTCTCCTGCGCAACTCGCCAAAAACAAAAGAAATGAAATGAAAACATAAGGGCCATAGCTTCCAGTAACAAATAATGACAAATACTGGGCAACTATTTTGACATTTGGAGCCCAGCAAGGAACAGCTTAGAGAGCTAAACATATGAATTTAGATCTTGAACCAGCATCAGAGTTCTTTAACAGTAACTGCCAGAGTCCAGAAAGATCTGGTGAGCAAACTCCAGGAGCACTATAGATTTTGAAAGGAACAAGAGATACATCCATAGCAACGTGTCGGCAGAGGAGGCAGAAGGACGAGGAGGTGAAAACTTTAGTGTTGTGTGCAGGAGCAGCTAAGGCCATGGAGGCTGCAGACAATGAGAGAAACAGCAACCATCACAATATAGAAAACTGGGGGTGGTGGGGCGGGGGAGCTTTGGGTGAGGAGTCTCTAGGTTGCCAAAAATTGGAGGAAGATTTAGCCCTGAGGTGAAAGAAAGAATGTATCTGATGAGAATGTGTCTGTGTCGGAGCTACTGGCCCCGTCCCAGCTCTATCTCCCCATGATTTCTTAGGTAAACAGGTGCTTCTATTCAAAGATGGCTAATGATCAGACATATTGCCAATTCTTATGAATTAACCAGATGATTAATAATCAGAAGCTATGAAAAAGGGAAGAAAAGCCACACGCAAAAGGCAAATGAACCCTGAGGAGGAATTAATTATTCAGGGAAAAAAAGAACTCTAGTTAACAGTTTTTCAAAGTCTCACAGAAGGAAAACATCATTCTTGCCCCTTAAAAGTTCAGGTAATTTGCAAGGCTATCAAAGGTGTAGGAAGCAGACAGGCAGTGGTGCTTAGGGAGTACTGGAAGGAAAACCTAGAGATGTAAGGAATGGTAGAAACATCATCTGACTTTTAGTTCCTTTAGTTTTTCTTCTATTCAAGTAAAATTGTAAAATTTTAATTTTAAAATAGCATTAATAGCATAAACCCTCTCTAATTAAAAGTACCACTATTTAGATGTACCTGTAAAAATGGCATAAGATGATGTCTGGAATCATAATTACCAAATGTTAATAATAGCTATTTCTATATAGAGGGTTTGGGATGAATTAAAAATTTGTATTCTGTGTTTTTTCTTCATCCAAATCTTAAAAAATATCAGCATTATCATTTTTATAGTAGCAATAAAGTCAGTCTTTAAGAAAGAAGAAGAATCTATACCATTCCCTGCAAAATTACAAAATGTAGATAGTTCTGAATTGCAGCTGCAGCTCAGAGGTACAGGACTTACTTAGCATCTGCCAGGCCTTGGTTTGAGCCCCACCACCACCAAAAAATAAAAAATGTAGGTAGATAGGAACATTGAGAGCCCCTCAGAGGAGCAAGATTCTACTTAACTGGTAAATGGCTGAAGGCTAGCCATGCTAGGATGTGGCACACACAAAAGTGAATAATAGATAAACCAGTGTGACCTTTATTCATTCAACAGATATTTTCTGAACACCTGTAAGGCACCAGAAACTCCACTAACGACTAAGGTTTCAAACTCAAGACATGATTTTGTTTTCTCTCAGGGGACTCCGAATACTGTTACAGGGCATGGTTTCTTGATCTCAATACTATTGGCATTTGGGTAGAATCATTCTTGTGCGGGGTGCCCTGTGAGCTATCAGACATTAACAGCATCCTTGACCTCTACTTCTAGGTGTCAGTAGCACCCCTGATCTGTGACCACAAAAAATGTCTCTAGGCTTTGCTAAATGCTTCCTGGGGAGGTAGAGGAAGGGCTCAACCCCCTCTTCAGTTAAGGGACCTTTCTATAGAGGAAAACAAGACTGCAGCGTTAATAAATTGTTACCAGTCTATACCAGGAGACTGTCCTAGAGTGTGGGTGGGGAAAGTAGAGGTCTGGCTCTTAACCAGACTATGCTGAGATTTAGAGGACATTTTTGTGCCAGCAATAATGAGAACCACCTGCAGTCTCAAACGAAAGCATGGTTTCGTTCCTATCTGGCCTAGTACTGTTAGTTGTGCTTTGCCTCTTTCGTTCCTCTCGTCACTACTTACAGGCACTGAAAGTGCTCTAGAATAGTCAAGTATCATTGTGAGTGACCTGTCATTATGATTCGATGTTAATGTGATGTTTTATCGTTAAGAATGTCCTGCTTTATTCCTGGTGACGCTCTGTCCCAAATCAGTCCATGCTTATCCAGGAAATCGGGCCCTGGTTAACATCCGGAAGCCAGACTATCTGACCAAGGATCTGAGTAGCTTTGGTTCTGGGATGTCATCCTCTGAGGTCCTTTTGGAGAGATTTTCTTCTTAATATGTGTAATCACATTTGCCCTCACGATAAGTCAGGTTGTCCATATGTGTTTTCAGATAGTCCCAGCCCTTGGGCAAACCATTGAGACTTTTGAGATCTCCTCTTTCCCGTGAAAAATATTTTAAAATGTTATATACAATTGCAAAATCATCTTCCTTGTTTTCTTTCTGTGTCACATATCTGCCAAGGTTTCTCTCCCGTGTCTTTAATGTGGAGCTTAAATCCTAAGCAACCATTAGCAGATGTGCTAGGTAACTTTTTCTAGATAGATTTCCATTATTTGTGTGACTGGTGGACTCAAGTCTGTCTCCTCCACTAGTCTTACAAATTCCTGACTGGAGGTAAGAGTCAGACTGATCAATACGACTCAACCCAGTACCTTGGAAGGAGCAGGGACACTAAATATATGCTGTCATGATTCATTTTAATCAAGCAAGCCCTTTCAAAATCAAACCTTAAAGACACAAGGGAATAAATGTATTTTGATGGTTTTTCGAAACATTGTGACAGTAAACCAGAGGGGGGAAAATTTTTTTTAGGTTAGAGTTCTTATTGAAAATAAGGAGAATGAGAATAGCTTCTGGATTTCCAGGAGGAGCACCAAATGGGGTGGACACATGGTCAGTCCATCTGATCTACAGCTAATTATAGATAAACAGAGCACATGAGTTGCTCAATTGTTTGGTGGCTCTGTGGATTTAAAATGACCAACTGGGACTCAGGATTTTAACCCAGTTCTTGGACACGTAGTGTTTACAGAAAACTGGGACAGAGAAATATTTTTGAATGTGGAGGTCTGTTGTACATTTCTAAAATTATGCTGGAAGCTCTTTATTTTGCTAGAATGTAACATTCCTTTCAGTTCCTCCTGTTACAATTAGACATCCATGGAAAGTCATGTCTGACCACCTGTGCTTCCTGCTCTAAGAATGCTGGTGGCCTCCGCTAAATGTTGTGCAAAAAACCCTTCATCCCAGGGTTTTCAACCTAGTAACCCTGCTACTTCCCTCTCTTCTCACTTTTTTTTCCATTGAGTTTATTGGCACTTTTTAGATATACAGTACAGTTACGTTTATCACTGGGTTTGGGATCTTGTACCTTTACACGATGTATCTTGGTTCTTATTTTTTCTCCATACCCCTCACCTCCCCTCAGCCCCTCCACCCTTCCCTGTTTACAAAGACATTGTTTCCATGCTTTTCCTTTTCACTTATTTTTTCTTTTCCCTTTTTACCTTTCCCCTATTCCTCCCATTTCCTCTACTCTTTTAGACTTTTCTTCCTATTAAACAATATCAGTTATACATTTTAATCATTATTTATACTTTTACTTTTTTACACCAGAGAAACTATTTGGTATGTACACGTGTAACATTAATTTAACTGAGTATGGCTTCAATGTGCATCCATTTAGCTACAAATCTCTCTAGTTTCTCATTCTTTATGGCTGAGTAGTACTTCATTTTATTAAAAAAAACACACACACATCTTTATCCAGTCTCCAGTTGATGGACAACTGGGCTTTTCCAAGTTTTAGCCATTACAAACTGTGCCATAATAAACATGTGTGCACATGTATCACTCTTCTATGATTTTTTAAAATTCTTTTGGAAAGATACTCTGCAGTGGGATAGCTGGATCAACCTCTGACAGAGAAAATTAAGACTTGCATCTCAAGACGCTTTCTCAGTGTTTGAAAAACTAGAACTATTTCCACAAATAGTCTTGTTCCCGTTATAATAATATATTTTAAAATGTGATTAATAGACTTTAATCCTCACCCAGAATATCTCAAATAAATTTCCATAAGGACAATGCTTTTCAATGTTTATTGGATACTGTAAATGCTGAATGTATATTTTGCTATAACCTTGAATGATTTCAAGTGAGACATTAAAATGTCATTGTCTCTTAACTCATCTATGAAATACTGATACAGATTATTCCTAGACCCCTAACCTTAGGTCAAGAAGAAAGTCTAATAGTATGCCATCATAATTTTGATTAGATATTGTATTCATATGTTGACTTGAGTATGTTTTGAGTGTTTGGGATGATTCTTTCATTGTTGACAAGCATATTATTTGGATTTTTAAACATAAAAGTAGGTTGGCCATCTTGAATTTATGAACTTAATCTATTATGAAGTCCAAGGAGTAAATTCCCCTAGTTTTTCCTTTCCATTTTGGCTATTCTGTTCCTATTTCTGGCTTACTTAGTAGTGTTTGGGGAAAATAAGAGCTAAAATTCAAATGAGTTATGCAGCTGCTATATACAGCTATAAGTATAGTAGAGGAAAAATTGTTGATCATAACCTGCTCTTATAAGTATCTATAGATTTCAGATGTCTGTGATTTCAATTGTCTGTTACCATAGGGTAGAAATTCAGAGTTGGAAACATTATTGTCCTAGATAATTAGGTGTTTTTCATGGAAACTATTGTTTAGATCAGTGTCTTAATGTGCCCATCACTACTTTATGTCAAATACAAGTAAGATTTTTTCTAAATTAAGAATATCTACTTTTCCTCTAATTTATTATTTTATTTATATTTTTTCCTCTACTAATTTAGACAGCTCATGGCCGAAGAGGACATACAGGCCCACAGGTCAGTGATTTCTTTTTTCTTATCTCCAAATGATAAATATTCCAAGTCATAGCAAAGAAATGGAAAAAAATGTTTTATAAAGTCCTTTCAGCCTAAAGAGTTTTTGATTTTTAATGATAATGGTTATGAAATAAAATGCTTTAAAATGTTTAGGCTATATTTTAGGAATTCAAATTCAAAAGAAAATGAAAATGTAAGTTCCTTCGTTAAAAAGGCATTAAAAATGAATGCTCAAAGGGCTTAGCTCCATTATGGTTAAATCTAACTTTGTCATTCAAACTCTAATAACTCTGTAAGTAAACTTTTAGATTTTTGTTAAATTAACTTAAAGCTTATTATATATAAAGCCTCAGATAAACCAGAAAAATACAATGAAATTTTAACATATTGGATATTCTGAATTTGTTCAAAAAGTTATATCAAATGCCTTTTCATAACTTTTGCACATACTGATGATATATGTGCTTCATGAACCTACACTATTTATAAAAAAAAAAGTTGTGACTTGCAACTGTGTAAAAAAACACATCCTCAGATTAAAAATTAATGTGTGTAAGTAATCCATTCTCAATCATGTCTTGATGAAACTACAAAGGGTTAAGGATAAAAAGGCACTTTAAATATCACCAGAGAGAAAAAACAATTTTACACATGAAATGAGCCACAAATTCCATTGCAGCAGACTTGTGTTCTACAATACTACATTCTGGAGAACAATAGAGTAGTATCTTAAAGATTCAGAGGAAAAAAGGAACCTCAAATTTTATACCTAGCTAAACTGACTAAATGTAAAATAAGACACTTTCAGAAAAGAAAATTTATCACCTGCACAGATATACCCCCCTCACACACACATATACATACGTTTTGTTTCAGTCTGTTCTTGCTGCTATAACAAAATGCCTTGACTGGGTAATTTATAAATTTACATGCTTTTATTTCTTAAAATTCAAGAAGCTGGGAAGTTCACAATCAAGACTTGGGCAGATTTAACGTCTGTTCTAAAAGTGGTGTTTTCTTGTTGCATCCTGTAATGGTAAAAAGGGCTCACAGGTTCCTTGAGATCTTTATAAAGTCTTTCATCTGAGCTAGGATGGTGGGTCCTTCATAATTCAGTCACTTTCCAAGTCACTTTCCAAGGAATCCACTTTAATACCAGTGCATCGGGCATCAGTTTCAGCACATGAGTATGACTGAGGTGGTTCATACACATTTAGACTATAACACACTTCAAGCTAGACATCAACAAAATAGTATAAAATAAATGAAATGTGATTGGAGAAAGAAGGTGTTAAGAAATTTCTGACTTCTGGGAACACATATCAGTGAAGGACATTTAATCATATCCAACCCTATAGCAACTGAGACGTAAACCTAGGCCATCCTAATAGTTCTCTGAATTGAACTTTCTTAATCTTTCCTCACTCTTTCTGGAATTCAGAACAGTGGGAGGAGAATGCTTAATTTTCAATTTTTAGATATTTCATCTATTTGAACATAAATTTAATGTTGTAAGATACCTGAAGACCTTTGAAGAAAATGTGAAGTAAATTGTGAGTTGTTTTAAGGTCATATACCCAAGATAGATATAACACAATTTACATTTTATTGAAAAATATGTATAAATGTGAACATGTGCATATATATATTTAAAAGCTGAAAATGAATACACAGATGTGTTAACTGTGGTTATTTCTGCCTGATGAGATTCTAGATTTTTATTTCTATTCTTATTTTGTGCATTTTTTAAAAAGATCCTTTATTGCCATTGTAACTGAAAAAAATATTTATAATCTTGGGCATAAGGAAACAAAATTGTCAGGAAATAGTATTAATAGGTTGACTCTCATCACAGGGAAATATAGGCATCCCAGGCCCAGATGGGTTCGAAGGTTCCTTGGGACTTAAGGGCCCTCAGGTATGTATCAAGGTCGAGCAGGGTCTGAGATCTGCAGAGGAATCTGGGTGTGGAAGCATCTGAAGCCTTGACTGAAACCCTCAAAACATCTTGCAAAGTTGCAGATCCATGAAGTGTTTTCAGGACAGTACGGAAGCAACACAGTAGACTTTTGCAGCACTTGGCCTCTTTTACCTAAGCTTTGGTCCCAGTCAAGAGGTGGAATAAGGGTAAGCAAGCTGGGCAGCAGTCCCTGTGTGTTGAGTTCAGGGTTGTTAGGGTAATAATCCAGGAAGACCATAAGCCAAGGAAACTTTTGAGCCTCAAATCTTCAAATCTGGAAATTGTGGTCAGTTTCACACAGTAATAGCTCAGTGTTACATATTTGGATGGCCATGATGCTGAAAAATTGGCTCTGCTCTAAGAAAGAATTGTTCCAAATACAGCGGGAGTATTCAGCGGGGTGATCTATAGTGTGGCACTCAGCCAGTCCTTTCCAGCTGGCTTCTCCAGGGAGCTGCCTCCAGCCCTTTTGCAAGGAACAGGCTGTAGTTGGCTCTTTACACTGATCACAGAAGACAAGCAAAAGTGTGTGCCGGGGAGGGCAAAATGTAGCCTAAATTAATAATGAGAAATGAAAAGAACAAATTCAAATGCTGAGATGAAAGAAAAAAGTCAGGCCACAAAAAAGATAGGCATTTTCTCTCCTCGAGGTTAACTTTAAAAGCATTATAAATAAGGGATATGTAAGATAGTCCATGGTTCTGCTATTTTCAAAGTTTTAAACTACACAGTTAAAAAAGGGAAAACATATGTTGGCAGCTTGGTGCATAGAAGTGGAGAAAAATACCCTTGAACATCAAAAGAGAAATTTTATCCACATAGTATCAAGATTTCCAAACAGTAAGACAGTCTTCCCCTTGGATCTTTATCTCTTTCTAGCTTGATTGCTTTTCTTTGCTGCTACTTTCAAGCTGAGATGTACTCTCTTTTCTTACTTTTAAGTGAGAAACCTTTGCTACTGGGATTCTGAGGAAACATCTCAGTAGACTTACTGCTTTTATGTTAAACAAACAATACTATAGGAGCCTTTTTTTTTTCCATTTTTTGACCCTTACTTTTTTTCACAACATAATTTAAGAGGAGAAGCAAAACCCAAATACAGCATGGTTTCTCTGTGTAAAACACAGATGCTGTAGCTAAGAGGCAACATAATATTGCAAAAGTAGAAATATCTGTATTTCATCTGGCTATGTGCCATATCTTTAAGATGAGGCTTTAGAGTGGTTTTTGAATGGAAAACATTTCAATATTCTGGTTTTGGGTTTCCATAATTCAGGATATCTTTTTAACCTAAGAAATGTATGAATTCAGAGTATAAAGATATGGAGGACTGTTAGAAAACAATATTCAGTCAGGTGTGGTGGCAGGCCCTATAAATACCAACTATTTGGGAGGCTGAAGCATGAAGATAACAACTTCAAAGCCAGCCTGGGAGACTTAGTTAGAATCCGTCACAAAATAAAAAGGGCTGGGGATGCATCTCAGGGCTCCCAGTACTTTAAAAATGCAAGCAAGCAATTCCCCAGAGCTCAACCAATTATCCATCACTTTTCCAAGCCCCAGTCCCTTTTCCAAGCAAATGCCCAATCACCTAAATTTTACTCTGGATTGTAATATCCCCACATGTTAGCAGAGCTTGGAAAAGTCATCAAGAACCAGTGGCAACCCACTTTCCAGTCCCTCTTCTGTCTCTCTTTGATAGAATATACCTTCCTCTCAATAAAGTTTTTGTACTCTTAAAAAGAACAAAACAAAAAAACCCAAAAAAGCCCCAGCATAATTGTACCCCTCTTCCAATTTCTGCCCCTGTTACTGACTTAACACTTTTACTTCCAATATTCACGTTAGTGTCCCAGTGTTCCTTTTAAGGAAGAAAATAACATTGAATTCTATGAATCTAGGGCCCAAGAGGAGAAGTTGGTTCAAGAGGAGAAAAAGGAAGTCTGGGAATTAAAGGTCCCCAGGTATGTAATGAGAGGAAAAAGTGATGACAGCATTTGGCTTTGATCTTAGCCTTAATGTGAATGTTTTTATTATTTCTTCCCTGCAAGTGGAATGATCTTCTGCCTGAAAAACAAAAAAGTATAGTCGGTTTATATCATAATCACCATTATCATATCATCATCATCACCATCACCATCACCATCACCATCACCATCACCATCATAATCTGTTTGGCTCCAGCACTCAGTGCGGTAACCACATAACACTCCAGTTTCCATCTTTTAACACGGGTCATCATTCTGTTAGACACATCTCTAGCTGCCTTTGCCTCACTTCTCAGCTGGGTTTAATAATTCTTCCTTTACACAATCAAGCTCCATCACTGCTAGATCACAGGTCTCTCAGAGCTTCCTATCACACCCATATTAAAGCCTATTTTAGTGGTCCTCACCCTGCCCACATGTGACAGTGTCCTGAGGGGCTGTAAACATTTCACAACAAGGCCCCTCCCAAGAACACTTTTATCAGCATCTCTGGAAATGAGGCCCTGGCATTAATAATTTAAAATTTTCCCAAGGTCACTCTAAATGTACTGAGGCTTAGGAATGCCTGCCCAACATTAGCACTTCTCCGATTTCCAAGTGCATCGAAGCTCCCTATAGAATTTGTTGAAATGTTCCAGGGCAGAGCCTGAGATTCTGCACATCCAGTGAGCTCTGAGGTGGTGCTGATGTGACTGTCTAGGGACTACGCTTTGAGTAGCACCTATGTGATCTGGTCCTTACCTAGCTGTGATCATAGTATGTGTTTATTGATCTGTCTGGCATATTGGTGTATATTATTGTCTGTCTCTTGTTCTAGATTGTAAGCTCAGTGAGGGATACTGTTTTGGTTATATTGTATCTACGGTGCCCAGAACACCTGTGCCTGACCATGGCAGATCTCCAGGCATATGTATATAATGAATCAAGTAATAAATGAACGAATGAGATGCACTTGGGAACTGCACTTTCCACTAACACTGGGGGCAGGGGGGAATTCATATATTTGTGTCCATTAAAGTTGGCACTTAAGCTATTTATTTAAAGTTGTTTTGCATGACATAATATTTTAAAGTACGTTTATAACTAACTGCTCATGAAAATATTTGTTCTCAATATTAACGAAAGCACAATACTCCCTAAAAATACATGAAAAGTTTATAATATCATAACAGAACTAAATTAAATTGATGAATAGCTATTTTGCATTCACAACTTTGAATCACTGAAGGTCTGCTGGCACCATAAATTGAAATTTTAAAAATTAACAATAAGCATCAAGGAAAACATTGAGGGTGAATATCTCATCTGTTTATATAAAATATTAGGATGTAGATGGGTTGAAATCCAAAGGTCTTGGTATTTCTTTTGCTCTAGGATCCAAGATTGCATCCAAGTGGCTGTTACTATAACAACATTTGCATTTTGTCTATAGTGCACCTCTACAAGAAATACCCCTTTAATCTGGCTTTGGCAACACTGATCATAGTCATAAATCATTCAACCTCTTGGCATTGCAAGAGTTAGGAGGAATTCTTTCTCTCTAGTCTCCTCTTCCATTTGACTGGCTAGAAAACATGATTTTCTTTCTTTGCTTGGTTTTCATGAAATATCTTTGGACTACCCAGTGAAAATGCTGTTTCAAAGCTGTGTGGAATTTTCTGTTTTCAGCACATGATGAATGGGATCTCAAAATTTTTGTTTAAGAAGAAAACCACAGAGACAAACACAAGTCAGATATGCAAGATAGAGTTATTCTTTATTGCCTCTATAAACCCACTGCTAGAAGTCTCCTTGCTTTATAGTACCCAAAGACCAGCTACTCCAGTGGACTAACATGAGTGTTTTCTAATTACAAATTTCCTTATGTTACACACTTAGAAAAAGGAATGTGAGTTCTGTTGATGGTGCTCAGAAGGCTTATTAACCTACACAGTACTGAGGTGTTCTGCATGTGTGCCAATCCAGCCAATACATGGTGATGATATAAAAGAAATACAATTCATGGCACTATGAAAAGGAAGAAAGAGCTTTAAAGGAATGGTACTTTTTTGTGCCTTTTGTTCCATCTTTGGATCACCTTAAGGGGTGTATCCTAATGCCTAGAAAAAAGAGGAGAACTAGATCCAAAATACAAATCAGAGATCTAGTCATTCCTTAAATATTTGTTTTCATAGTGAAATAATCACTAGTGGCATGTGTAACAGTAAGAAAAACTGGAATTACTCAATGCAAATTTAGAAAACGAAGCAGAATTTTGTTGTCTTTACAAAGCATACATTATAGTCAAAGACATAGAGTCGGAAGCCAGATTTTAAGTTCCTGATTTGTTACCTTAGTGCTGTGTTGATCTTGAGCAATTTATTTAATCTTTCTGCCTCACTTTTCTCTATTGTAAAACAAGAATAGTAATAATAGCTACCTTATTAGATGTTTTGAAACTTAAATGGTCTAACATATGTGTGTGTTTAGAATACTACCTGCAATATTAAATATTAAATAAGCATTTATTACTACTATATTGTATTAACATTGCCCAATGTAACAGAAATATTTTATGTCCAGTGAATATGAATCACTATTATAAGCAAGGATATAATATGGATATAATGATATGTCATTTATATCAAGCATCGGGTTTCATCATCCTGAATAATCTGATTTGGAGACTCTATCACTCCTTTGCTAACTTGACTAATGTTTACTGTGAGTGCTTCCTGTGTGTAGGATAAAGGGTGGATCTAAGACGGAATTTCACTTCAAATACATGTGGTCTCCTGAAAGAGGCATGTGTGAACAAATAACTGAGAGACACTGTGCTGGGTATTAAAATAGAATTACACCAGATGTTACGGTTTGGATCCACAACGTTCCCCAGAAGGCTCATTGTGTTGAAAGCTTGGTGCACAAAGCAGCAATGCTCAAAGGTGGGGCTTTGGGGAAGTGATCAGATTATGAGGGTACTGAGCCCATCAATGGGTGGATTCCCTGATGAGTTCATAGCTGTGTGAGCAGTTAGGAGGTGGGAGTGGATCATGGGAGCATCACCTCGAGGACTAGATCTTCTCCCCTGCTGCCTCCCTTCCTTCCCTCTGCTTCCCTCCCCTTCACTCCTTCTCCTTCTCCTTTACTGGCCTCCATGAATAAGGTCAGCAACTTTCCTCTGCCATGCCCTTCACATTGGATGTTTCTGTCTTGACACAGGCCTAAAAGTAATGGAACCAGCTGGCCATTGGCAGAAACCATGAGCCAAAATTAATTTTTCCTTTAAACTGGTTATGTCAGATATTTGTGTCATAGCAATCAAAAGCTGACTAACACACCAAGGCGAAGTGATGGGATAAGGGATAGTGTTACATGAGGAGATAAGTGGGCTGGGCTTTGTAGGATAGGGAGGGGTTTTCCAGCTCACCAAGGGAGAGGCAGACATCCATGAAAAGGAACCAGTTTATATAGAGAGAGCTGCCAAAGGGTGTTTTGTGAAGCATAAAATGGTAGTGTGGTTGGATCATAGGATGCATGGAGAGGCATTAGAAAGTAAGGTTAGAGGCTATCTTGTATCATTGCACTGTCAAGATGGAATCTACTCAGGTATCTTGGGATCTGTCCTCACATTAGTCCACACTTGCTGGCCTCTGGATTTTTAGGTATTCAAAGCTCATATCTAACTCTTACAGAAGCTGGAATCACCTTGTTTCTTCTCAGCTTGATATTTGCTGGCTGTGAGTTTGTGTTAGATTTTATCCCCATGAAAATAAGACAAAAAGTGATCAGGATTCCTTTTAAGTGTGAGAAGACTCGCACCTCTTGGCTTGTCATGCCATGTTCCAGCCGTTCATCCTAGACTCATTAGTTCAGTCCCTTCTGAAAGATGCTAAGGACATTTGCACTCTCTAAACACCTCCATTCTATCCTTACCTAACATGACAGTAGTTGTGGGTGCCGAGGGCTATGTGACAGACTCAATGTGAGCAAACAGCTCCAGCCATATTTGAGGTTTTATCTAGTCCCAGCCTCCTGTATGAAGTTTGAAGACTCCCACCAGGGCTGACGCATGAATATGAATTTGGGTACCCTTCCTAGTGGTATCTGGGCAGCAAACAGAGTGGCTGGGACCTCCGTCCTTTGAGACAGATAGAACTAGCACCAGTTCCCGTTTTATCCTCTTATTAACTAAGTGATTTATGTGGAGACTGAAGATGAGGCTAGTGAGGCAAAATTTTAAGAGATAAACTAAGAAGACCCTCAACTTTATTCTAAAAGCTGCTCAGAATTCAATTTCAGACAAGACAGAGGCAGCATCAGCCCGATAACTTAAATCTCTGATGAAAGGATGGACAATGGGTTAGACAAAGGCCAGGGTGCAGTTGGGAAAGCCTGGGTCAGATAAAGTGTGAGAGGGTCCTGGAAGAAAGAGTTGGCAGTAGGAATGAAGAGGGGTACACACGGACAGGGGATGGGTTCTCTATGACTCTAGATGAGGGGTTTGGCTTGAGTTTCAGTCAGGATAAAGGATGGACCATCCTTGATACACAGAATATGAGACTGGGTGCGTGATTTAAGGTAAACATAATTCCTATGGGATATCCAGTAGACATTTTAACACATGCATTTGATGTTTAGGTAAGTGGTTTGACATGATGTAAGAGTCACTGAGTAGAAGTAGTACATGAATTTGTAGGGCTTCCATTCAAATACAGAGGGTGAAGATCTACAAGGCATGTAAAAGAAGGCACATAACCTTGTCTCCAACGGTTAGTGAGAGGAGAACGGAGAGGGAGCACCATGACCATGGTAAGTTGTGATATTACAGAAGTGAATGAAAAAGTGTCAACACATCATCAAACTCTGGTAAGGTAAAGGCAGAAAATTGTCACCTGGTTTGGACATAAAGGTCATGGGAGGTGGTGCCACACAGTGGTATAGGTGAAAATGCAATGGAAATAGATTCTGAACTGTCTGCAGAGAGGCAAAATTTTTAGATTTTTAAGATTGAAAAAGGAGGGGGCAAAGATGGGGTATTGTGGAAAAATTAGCTTCATTAATAATCATTTCACTGTTTAGCAATTCTTAGGAAATTGCTCTTGTGTAATTTATTTTTTTTTATTTTTTGAAGGATGAAAAGATTAATGTCACAAATCTGTTCCAAACAGAAACAATTTAAATATTATGCTTATTACACAGAGATTGTCTTATTTAGTTTTAAATTATAGCAACCATAACCAAAAAATTGTGAAAACAATTTCAATCCACTGGTGTTGAGATTGTGTAGAAGTACTTGCAAACAGTTTTACCAAAAGAGATTTTTCTTGACATATGCTTGGATATCCCAAGGGAAACATCTGATCCTAGCTGTTAATAGAAGGCTGTTGTGTGGTCTCTGAACTGCATTTAAAAATATTCAGCTCTAAAGCTGTTCCAATAAAATTTACTTTCTAGAATGCTGGCAGGATCTACTTCTGTTATCCCAATAGACTATCCATATGGATGTATGTTATGTTTATTCATCTGTGTAAGTTTTGTTATGAAGTTTTCAATAAAGTCTTAGAGTTGTATAGGTTTTAGATCTTCTTAAATTTATCCTAAGTATTCTATTTTTTTCTCCTTTTGATAAATGGTATTTATTTACATCTACTTTTCCAACTACCATTTTCTAGTACTTCCCAAAAGCTATTTCTAAATATTTACCCTGTACTACCTGCATACATTTTGCTTTGTTTTGTTTTGTTTGTGGTGCCAGAGATGAACCCAGGGCCTTCTTCCTGCTAGGCAAGTACTATACCACTGGGCTACACTTTCAGTCTTTTGCAGTTGTGCTTGGTAAAATTTCTTGAGCTTTCTAATTTATAAATCACATTTTTTGCAAAAAAAAAAAAGAGATAAGTTTACTTTTTTTTTTTTTGAGACAGGGTCTTACTATGTAGTTGAGACTGACCTGGAACTCACTGTGTAGCCCAGGCTGACCTTGAACTCACTGCGATCCTCCTGCCTCAGCCTCCCAAGTGCTGGGATTACAGACATGTACCACCATACCCTACCACTGGGCTATACCTCCAGTCCATTACAGTTGTGCTTGGTAAAATTTCATGAACTTTCTAATTTACAAATCATATTATTTGCAAAAAAATATGTTTACATTTTTTAAAAGACTGACCTCTTCCTTTGGTAGAAAGCATTTCTTAAAATACAGATGTCACTTAGACTGCCTTTTTTAAAGTGTTAGAGATTTTAGTAACATCTGCTCTCAGAACAAAACATTGATAACCTGAAATCTCTCTGGAAGAGAAGACTCATAAGGAAGCATAATCATTTAGGCAACATCTGGCATGCATTACTTTATTAATTTTCTTTTAGTTACCAGTCTTTATTTGACAGCTACAATACTTTTTTTCTAGAGGAGGAATTGTTATAGTCATAATTCTTCTCCCATCTGTAGTTTGTTTTCCTCTTAGAGAGTCAAAAGGAAGATGGCTTTATGTTTCGCTGTATTTGCAATCTTTGTTTTGTTTCAGGGGCCTCCAGGACCTGGAGGAGAGGCAGGGAATCCAGGCCATTCCGGAAATCAAGGAAATAAAGTAGGTCACATTCTTTATACCCTCTCCCCAAGGTTGAGGTTTTTCTACTCAAGAGAACTGTGTCTGGTTGTGTTTGCCAGAACTCTTTCAACACAAATAGAAAGCACAGCTCACTGCCCCTAAACCCTGGCTTGATTCTTAGAGAGCCAGCAGCCTCTAAGGACAAGGGTGTGGATCTGATGAGGTCAGGGATCCAGCTCAGCGTGATTGCATGAAGAGCTACACCCAATCCAAGCTGGGGAATCTCGGGGAAGGAGGTCCATTCTGGCCAGGTCTCCCTTTCTCTCTCCTACCTTCTCTGCCTCTTTGCCCCCCCACCCCCTTTTTCTCCCCCTCCTCTCTCTTCCTCTCTGTCTCTCTTTCTCTCACTTTCTTCTTTCCTTTTTCTTTCCTCCATTGTGTAAACCTTTGCTGACCACCTTTTAAGACCAAGGTCCCATACTGAGCCTTCATCTGGGCTGGAGAGTGAGCTCCAGGAGGACAGATTTTTGTTTTCACTGATCCTTGCCTAGTGCTCAGGATAGTGCCTGGATGTGTCCTAAGTGCTTAATGAATGCTTGCTGAATGAATGACCATCAGGTAGTATGATAAATATGACAATCCGTGCCACAGAATTTTGAATATTTTCGCTGTTCTGCCATAAAGAAAGATAAACTTGAGGCATTCATGGGTAAATGGATGTTCCTTGAAAACATAATATTAAATGAAATAAGTCAGACACACAAGTTTAAATATCGCATGCTTTCTCTTACATGAGAAACACATACACATATACACACACACATACACAATGGTACCTCAAGTTCGCAAACTTGATTCTATGATTCTGGCTGCAAACTTAGTTGGACAAGAATCAAATCAAATTCACTGGTTAGGTTCAATGTCTACCCTTATGGGGAAATTTGATTAGGATCTCCTCCAGTTCAATTTCAATCAGACTCATGGAGAGAATTGAGTTCGTGAACCAAGACAGGTAGGTAGGTAGGTAGATGGACGGATTGATTCTACCAACAAGTATGTATTAGGAAAATAAAATTTGTATACATAGTTTAATACTAAATTTATTGAGACTTCATGAGATTAATACAAGTTACCTTTGGCCTCCACAATTGCAAGAGCTGCTCAAAGTGGTGGCCGTTATCTTCTAGACATTTATTAGTACAGTGAACTGCTGAAGTGTGTATACATTTTTTTGGCAGTCTCTCTGTGTGTAGAGCAAAATAGATAGGAAGTAGGGATAAATTCAGATAATTCCTCAAATTAACTATTCTGTTATTTCAAAAATATTTCAATGTATATGCTAATTTGTTTCATTGGTACTACTAGTTTCTCTTAGCTCAATGAAAAAAAAGTTTTGTGCTGTTATCTATTTCTTCTTTGTAAAAGAGTCTTTTTTTTTTGGCCTATGTCTTGTACTCTAACTTTTAAGATTATGATAGTGTATTAACTATTGTTGCTCTCATTTTGTTATAAAATTTTATTTTATTTTTTCATAAAATAAAAAATAAATAACTTTGAATATTTTAAAAACAATAACTCAAGACATTAAGGTAGACAGTTAAGGGGTTGAAAGGAAAGTTTAAACACAGCATTGACAGTAGTTCTGTATTGGGAAAGAGACATCAGAGAGGATACAGACATCAGTGGACGTAGAAAATAAGGATTTTGACAAGCAGAGGATGTATGGGGGAGGTTCAATTAAAAGAAATAAAGTGAAAAAAAGGCATGGGATTGCAAAAATCCTGGGAGAAGGATTATTTGTGAATGAAAACAATGTAGTCTGTGACTGACTATTCAGCAGGTAGTACAGTACTATCTGAAATTTTTGAATGAAGTATGTGAACACAGCTACCCGGTGTAGAAATATCTTAAAGGGTAAAAGCTTGTATTCCAGGAGACCAGTTGGTTCACTCTTGGAGCCTCCAAGACAATAAGTTGTTGGATAATTTAACAGAGCAAGGACTTCACTTGGGAAGATTCTCTGGAAGACTTTTGAAAGGGAAGGGAAGCAGAGAGAAGGGGCTGGATGACTTGGAACTTCCAGCATGAGTAGTGTCACATCTCAGATGTGCGAAAGCCCTGAGAAAGAACAAGTTTAAGAGGAAAGGAAATCATTTACTGGAAGGAGCAGGGTGTGGAGGAAAAAGTTGAAGTCTTGTTGGAGATAGAAGATTCAGAATCATTTGGATTTTTGAAAATATCTTGGTGATGCCTATTTTCAAGAAGTAAAGATGCAAACAGGAGATGATGAATTATTAGGAAGGAAAAGAAATAGAAAAGTGCATTAGATTTTATGAGTTCAAGAAGAAGGAAGCTAAGACTACCGATTGGCATAGAAAAAATAAAGGGTAAAGAGAGAAACTAATCATCACTTGTGGTAGCTAAGACTTATCAAAGAAGAGTTTCCAAAAGCAAAACGTGATTGAAAGGGAAAAGAAAGAGAGACAGACTACAAAGAACTGAGCAACATGTTGGTGAGAAAGAAATGGGTTGAGAATCTCCAAGCGACTGGAAAAATTAGGCAGGCCTTTTTACTGGCAAGGTCTAGAAAGCTTGCAGCAGGGTATTTGTTTTCAGTAACAGAAGAAACAACATGCTTACAATCAGAAGAGAGAGGAGGAAATGGACTGACAAGGTAAGATAGAGTAGCTGCTAGGGTAATTTCTTGACAATGAATGAGATTAAGGGCATAGAAAAAGGAGTTAGCTTTCCTTTGGAGAACTGCTAACAAGGCCAGCAGACTTGTTGCAAAGATGGCTAGAATTTGTAGTAAGACACATGGGTGATGAGGACAATTAACTTCAAAATCAAGGGATTTCTAGGGCATGTGTTGTAGCAGTAATGGTCAGAAAATGAAAGTTTGGAACAGATACAGCACTGTGTTCTTGCCCTGATGCCTTCTTAACCAGGAGGAGGCTGTAAGGGAAGTGCTCTCCCTGGTGAGATGGGAGAAAGAGGCATGTGTGTCACACATTAGGGGGGTGCATGTATATTGCATGTGAAATTAGAGCACTTGGTAGTGACAGAGGGACCAAAAGAGGTAGCAGAGATGGGACCCTGGAGCTGGACAGAGGTAAGAGTGTGGCAGAGACAGACGTGAGTAGAGTAGATGTGCTTATAAAAGGGGCTTTTTAGGAGGGAAACAAGAATTTAGGAAATAAGTGTCCCACAGCAAGCCCAAACCCTCAGAAGCCCATAATGGATGGAGCCATCTAGATTCACTGTGAGATCAATGGCACACATTTGCCCCATCCTTACTCCAACAAGTTTAAGTTTCTAGGAAGGCAAGCGGCCTGACAATTAAACCTGGGTTCTACCAGTAATCAATGAATCTAACTCTGGAGAAAGCCATATGACTCTCCTTGTTCCCCTACAGTGAAGAAGTTTTCCTCAGAATGTAGTGTGATTGGGAGTCAGATGAAAAGCTTACTTTAAACCACATATTGTTGGACTCCAGTAATTCAACAGGGTCTGGGAATTTCCTTTTACACAGGATCCCTGGATGATTGCAGGGCTGGTGGCCCCAGACCACACTGAGCATCACTCCCTTCTTGTTCTGTTTCACACTGAGTGAAATGCTGTGGACATTTGTCCACTTGCGGTTCTCACACTTACCGTGTGGCCACTGAGGTTCCTCTTATATGAGAAACCCAAAATATAAAGAGCAAAATAAAAGATGATAGGAGATAGGGAGATAGATCTTAAAAGGGAAGGGAATAAGAGATGGAGGCATGAAACGGGAATTAAGATGTGTTATGTACATATACCATCTCCCCATAAGGAATGTAAACATTACTAGAAACATGTACTAATAAAAATAATAACCACTCCCACCCCCTCAAGTGTAGCCCACACATACTTCCTTCCAAAGAGTACATGTAGAAAGGGGGAGGAAGATGAGAGCAACTTGACAATGAAGTGTAATTTGACCAACACTGCATCAACTGGATGGCCAAGTTTAGTATCAGTAGAGATAAGCCTGGTCGGTACTTTCCGTTGGTGTGATGTGATAATGGCACTTAATCCATGTAGTCTTCCTTCCCCAAACCCCATAAACCCCATCTAATCATGAGAAGAGCAGAAGTTCAACCTAGGAACATTCTATAAAATGCCCGATGAACCTGCCTCAAAAACTATCAAGGTCATCAGAACTACAAAAAGTCTAATAAACTGTCCAAGTCTGGAGGGACCCAAGAAGACATGGCGTGTGGTGTCCTGGATAGGATACTGAAACAGAAAAGAAATATTAAGTTCAAAAACCCGAATGAAATATGGACTATGAATAATAATCTATATCGATGCATTTATTGTGACAAATGTGCCTTAGGAATGCAATTAATATGCTGTTATCAATAGGGGACAGAAGATATGGGTTATTTAGGACTCTGACTATGTTCATAACATTTTTAAAACTATTCCACAACTAAATATTTTATTTTAAAAACCTGTGTTAATTTTCCTCAGTAGCTGCACTTTCCACAAGATAATACTGAAATGGATTTATAACCCACACAAGAATCTCTACAAGTCAGAGGTTAGAAACTATTGCCGGGGTTGTTGTGCTCTCGTGGGTATTTGAGTCACCACTCAAAACCCAAGAACTCTGATAATGAATCTGCCATCTTTGCAGGAGCCAGATGATTTTCATGGATCATCATGGAGCACAAATTTGTTCATTTTTTAAAACAGTCCAGAGCTTCCTTCTTGACTCACGGAGAGACATTTTCATGGCACTGAGCTGCTATGACAGCAACTTGCATAAACCATAAAGCAGGCTTGGTGAGATTTCAGTTACTGATGGAAGAGGCCTTGCTGGCCAGCAAAGCCATCCCTGTTAGATCATTTGTGTAACACGCGGTCCTGGACACAAACCTGTTGTTCTCATGTGTGATATGTGTGGGTGCACTCAAATGCCCCCTTAGTGTTATCATTTGATCTGATTTCCAAAGCAACCTAGTAAGGGCATGCTCCATTATTCTGTTCAATAGGGAGAACCTGGAGATCCAGGAGAAAAAGGAGCTGTTGGTTTTCCTGGTCCTCGAGGATTGCTGGTTTGTGTTTCATCGCTACCTTTGATCTAGCCCTTGGAACCTTTTAGATCATGAGATCTCTGCACTATATCTCTGAAGAGTCCTCTTAAGAGCTTTAAGGACACTATCCCAGTTTAGCTTCCTGGTGCTATGGAAATTTGAAAACATTTCATCCCCTTGGACTGAGTCTTCAGCCAGGTTTTACCAAATTTGCCAGGCACCAAACACCATGGCCAGGCTGCTCTTGAAGCCAAAAGGTAAAAGAGACAAAAGCTGTCTTTAGCATCCCTATGACCCTTTTTCTAACCTTTCCTCCCAGCAGGACCTTTCATCAGACACCTATTCTATCTTAATGCTCATTGTCAGAGCTTCTGTAAGGGCCAGACAGTAGCCAGTATCCAGGCATTTTGGGGGTCCTTGGTTTTTATCCAGAAAATGGAAAATGAATTAGGGCTGAGGTATGAAAATACAAATGTTATCTCGTAGAGGTAGTGCTACTACGTTTACTGAAAGATTAACAGATGCTTGACATTTTCTTAATCTTCATAACACTATGAATAGATGTAATTATTACAATTATTATTCCCAGTCTTCAGACACTTAGTATCACTCTCATAAAATGTCAAGAATATTGCTTCCTAGTGGTTCTAATCAAAACAAAACCCTGGCCATCTTGTCCTCTTGTGAATAAGCCCGAGTCTCCATGTGACCTGGGACATTGTAACTAGTTGCTTTGTTTCAAGGGTGATGACGGCAGTCCAGGTTATGGTAGCAGGGGACAAAAAGGAGCAAAGGTAAGCCATGCCCATGGGACTTTTCCCAAATCACTTGTTTTGTTTCGCATATTTAAGGGGAAAAAAGCAAGCAGTGAATAAAGCAATCTTATGAAGTCTGAAATGTACTTTGATAATTTGCAGATGTCCTATGGGGAACATGGTAGAGGAAAGACGTGTGAGGATTTCAAGAGCAGGCAGAAATTGAGACTTGAAAATGAATTTCCTGTATTTTGCAGTGATGTGTGGTTAGGACTTACCTTGTTCCAGTCTGAACAGTTCTCATCTTAACTGTGTACTTAAATTTACTCGGGGAGGCCATTTCTTGACTTCTGTTCCTGTTAGCCATTAGGAGAGATTTTATAGGCATTTCCCAAATGCAGGGGGTGAGCAGTAATTTAAGAATAAAACTGCATTTGGAACAATTATTTATACTGTCACTGGGTATATAAAAGACTACATCTATATATTATACCAACAATAATTAGTTTTTTAAAAAGGTGAAAAAGATCCAGTCTTTTAAAAAAATCCTCAAAAAAATAATGTGCAAGATATCCTTTCTGAAAAGATACTTGGAACCCTGTGACAAGGATCTGAGACAGCAAGCTTCAATAACTGTTTTAAAGCCTAAAATACAAAGGATCGATCTAACTCCATCAGTGAGAACAATGCACAAAGCTATCTGAAAGAAACAAATGTAAAAGCTAAAAGTTTTTGAAAAGTAAAACTAAGGAGAGAGGGAAATTTTCATTAGAATAAAGAATGATTAAAAACAATCAACAGCCCATAAAAGAAAAAATACTAAGTAGCCTATGGCATTATGCCAAAATAGATGTATGTGGCTTATAATTATGTTTTAAATTTTTATGTGTCAATTTCAAGGAAAAATTCAGAGTATATTTAGAAAAGCATTTATCCCAATTGTGCTAAAATGCATGTTTAAAAACTAAAAGAAATGGACAAAATATATACAGTAGCTCTGGGTAGTAAGATTTGCGTGGTTTTTTAATCCTTTATACGTTTGAAATTTTCTTTAAATAATCAGGAAATAAACCTTATTTTTTGTAGAATAGTGATTACTAGAGGTTGGGGAGGAAGGGCTGGGATGGTATATGAAAAGAGGCTGGATTTGATCAGTACGTGCTGTCTGTATGCACGTGTTGAAATATCAAACCCCACTAATGTATGCACAATTCATACATGTTAATTAAAATAAAATAAAGAAGCAAACAATTCTAAATAAAATGTATATTTTCTTAACCAAATAGGGATTATTTACCTCTTCAACTAGTCTTTGGCCAATGTAAGATAAACAGAGAATCTTAAAATGAATGATACGGTTTGCATTTTCTGAAGGTTCCCCAAATCCCTTCATCCGAATCCATTTTAAGACTATTCCTTAAACTCAAGACCAAATGGCATACTATCATAAGGACACAGAAGGAGAGGCGATTTGAAATTTCCTCACATCATTTTAGCCTCAAATTCCTTTGAGCTACTTAATCTACCATATTCTGATGAAATCAGTTAATAATTTAATCTAGAAACTGGAGTTAGTTTGCCAAATCGTGCTATGCAGTTTCAGTTTCCAAATATTTTGGCCCTTCATTAGTTCAGAGATACTAAAACTAAACAAAGTAGTAGGTAAAATTAAACTTAATATAAAACTACTTGAGGGATGTATATGTATGTTAATTTTCTATATTGTCCATTGTAGGGGCAAGAAGGATTCCCTGGAGAAAGTGGACCTAAGGTATCATGTACTTCATAATATCTAGAAATCAGTCAGAAATAGTCCTTGAGGTTATGAAATATAGCCTAGGCCAGTAGATGAACAGCTAGTGATAAATAAATAAATGAAGGAAGCAGGGAAGAGATAGCCAAAATTTTCCCAATTTCAAAAACTATGCGTTTGTTTAGGAGTCTTTAAGAATCAAACATTTTTATTTCTAACTTTTTAATTCATTAGTAGAGAGTGAAAACTAATCCTTTTTACATTTTCCCCTCAAATGTACCCTTTCCTCTCTCACACATGTATTTTATTTGCTCAAAGGCTCAAAATACAAAGAGAACCAAAATGACCTGATTTTCCTAGCTCAATTGTCCCATTATTTTTATGAACAATCTTCATATAATCAGTTAACAAAGGTGTCCTCTACCTTAAAACTTTCAGATTTTCTAGAAACATGCATTGAACTCCATATATGCCAAGTCCTGTGATAAGTCAGAGGACAAACAGAGGGCACAACTCATGTGTCCCAGGGGCTCAGGTTCTGTTGGGAAGACAGAAATGTAGGACAATCAATGACGATGTTGTGTGCTATGTGGAAAACTATACAAATGGAAAAGAAAAAAAGAACAATTAAATTTAAAAATGTACATGAAAATGACTTCCTGTTGGAGTCATTTTATTTTATTTTATTTTATTGGTACCAGGGATTGAACTTGGGACCTTGTGCTTGCGAGGCAGGTGGTAGAACCACTGAGCTAAATCCCTGGCCCTGGAGTCATTTTAAAAGCACAAATCAATCTCTTGATATGCATTTGATTTCAGCAACTAATACTGAAAGTAAAATAAAAATTCAAATCACTTGTTTAGGGTGAGATTGGAGACCTTGGTTATCCAGGAGACACTGGACGCAAGGGAGCTGGAGGCAAAATGGTAAGCTTCTTGGTCTCCCATTTGCTGACTGCTTCAGCCATTTTGGAGTCCTGCTTCCTGCAACTATAATCGCTCAATAGTTGCTTGTTCCCAAATAATAAAATGTGTACGGTTTTTTGCTAAGGCAAACTTGAGGAAGGGAAATGGGTGTAATACTCACCTCAGTGCCAGAGAGGAGGTGTTGTGGGAAGGCTCTTAGTGAGTCAGTTCACCTGTTCGGGCTGCCTTGTTTCTTGTCAACAGAAATATGTTTTTTGTGATCTGAAACAGGCTCTTCACTGCCAAGATATGGTAAGTTGAATCCTGTCTCCCGGTAGTTCGAATGCAATCTATTGCCCACTATATCTTGTCTTTACTAGTCAGGTTTTGTGAATTTTTAATAAGGTTTATTCCCAAAGGTCTTTTCCTCAGGCTGGGGTGTAGCTCAGTGGCAGAGCACTTGCCTAGCATTTGCAAGGCCTCAAGTTCCATCCCCAGCAATGCAGAAAAAACAATTTTTGCTTTTGTTTTTGTTTTAAGGGATTGCTAAAAGGGTCTCTCATGTAGCTCAGGAGGAGATTTCTGGAGCTTTGTCGGAAATGGTCTGTTTCTTATGTGACTGATTATTATCATGTGACTTTGTCTTTGATTATGACTATGTCTTGGGAGTTGCTCAATGCTTTCAATCACTCAACACCAATCTCCAGCACCTCTCATACTGTTCCACTTGCCTCAGGATCCCGGGGGCTAAGAATAGATTCTTGAATTTGAGACTCTTTGTATAACTTAGACTGTGTATAAATAAGATGTCTGACTTGTTTTTAAAAGACAGTTTTTTGGTAATTGTAATTTTTTACAGTTTTTAGGTAATTGTCTATTGATAAAGGCTTCTATTTTCTTTAGAACAGCACCAATCTGGAGAACTAATCTTAATATCATGTCAATTAGAAACAATGAAAAAAGTGATAAAAATTAATACTTGTGATTGTCTTCCAGTTTTGTCTTCATAGTTTATTGTTCTGCAATCTAGTTTTTTCCTACAAACTATAACAGGAACTTTAAGCATGGATTTTATTAATGTAAGTTATGGGGACAAGAAGTAAGGAAACCTTTTCCCCCTCC